TTGTCCCATACTCCTGTGTCCTACACAGCGTGTAATCTTTATTCCGGTGGTGGTCACTTCTTTCCGCTGGCATCCGAAGGTTCCCAGGGGAATTTCCTTCTTGAAGGCAATTCTCCAACGTCGTGCCACTGTCGCGCGACGAAATGTCTTCCTGCAGGGGGCAGCCAACTTCATCCGGGGTCCACAGTTTTCGTGTGTCGAATTCTTTATATTTCGTCGATGTCGGTCCCTGCGCCTTTTCTTCTTCGGTTCTCCGACCGGCATTACTTCGGCGTCTTGTACAGGTACCTCTAGTAGTTCTGCCGCCTCAGGTTTCCTGTGCACTGAAGCCGGCTTTTCATCTTCTGGATGTGCCTCCATTTCTCGGCAGGCCATCTTCACTCCGACCGGTATTGCAATGGGAACCTCTTCTTGTTGTGCCGCCGCAGGTTTTGTGTCCGCTGTGGCCAGCTTTTCCTCTTCTAGACGTACCTCCATCTCGTGGTAGGCTATTGTCTTTACTTCTTTATTTAGATGCGCCTCCGTCGTTTCTCGCCAGGCCATCTCTTTCTGCCAAGCATCCATATTGGCTTGCAACCTCTTCTCTCGCATGGCGGCCGTCCTTTCTTGGATGGCTCTCGTCTCCGCTTGGATAGCTCTTGTTTCTGCATCCAACTTTTCTCGCCAGGCCCTAATCTCTTTCAGCATTTCTTCTTTGTCTTTCTTCCTATTGGCCTCCTCTTTCTCGTGAATGGTTCTGATTTCCTTCAGGAGAAGTTCCATCATCTGCTGCATCTCCATTTTGTAGCAGTAAAATTCTCTGACGTGTATTTAAGCTCGTAAAAATTCGGACACCAAATTGTCACGTGTCTTGAGTTCGAATCTCGTTGGTCACGTGTGTAAGTCCAAATCCCACTTCTGACACCAGTGTAACATGTTTCGTTACAGAATACGCCGTAGAAATTGTTAATTGGTTTATTCAACAATCTACAAGAAATGGCGAAAATGAATTATAACACAGTTGCGGGTTTCCACACTTTACAAACCCTACAACCAAAGTCTTCATGTACTAATAACGCGGGAGCTATACAAAGCTCCCTGAATTACACACTCCAAATATAAGCACTCACTAAGTCTTGAAAGCACACAATAAGTCTTCTGCTCGCTGACTTCTTAGTTATCGCACACTCGCAGGCTGCTACCTTGAGAACTGTTGATAACACACTCTGACTCGTAGGCTTGCTCGGAACTCTTGGAGGTAGCTCGAGGACTAACTCGGAACTGTCTTCGGCGATGGCCACATTACAACTAACTCGCAGCCGCTGTGCAGCTCACTTATATAGCCGCAGTGCTTGCCTGTGGCGTAATGAGTGCCACGTCATCCTGTTACGTCACCGCTGTTGACTCACGTTGCATAGCTGCCAGGTTGTGGGGGCTCGGCTAACTTCGGCTCCGCTCGGCTCACTTGGCTGCACTCGTGACGTCACCGCGGGGAGAGTGGCGGGGTGATGACTCGCATATTACGCGAGCGCTACGTTACCGCCACGTGCCGCTGGGGAGGTAGGGGTCCTTCATTGCGCAACATGTCACAATATTATACTCCAAAATACAAACAGGCTTCTTTACCTGTCCATATCTCCTTTGAACATCAACCATGCTCGAATTGTGAATTGTGGAAATCATATTCACAACACGAGTATCCCTCCAGGACTGAAGAAGAATATCCTCCTTCCTCCTGAATGTGGTTTCACCACATTTCAGGGATTTACATTCCTCTTTCAGATCTGGAGGAAGGCCTCTGTTCACCCTAATTGTTCCACAAACACGTACTTTTCTCTTACGGCTCATTAGTTTGCTGAAAATTGGACTTTCTAAAAAAAGATCTGTTGACCAGTACTCTTTCAGATTATCCCTCCTTGTATGGCCCATTAGAAAGATTATTGCAAAAAATTTTCTCATTTCTGCTGAAGTGACATCCACCCACTTCAACGCCTTATAACTTCTGTCATAATCTTCACGGTGTTGGAGATAGTGTCTGTTAGTTTCTTGACATAGCGTGTCAAAGAAACTATCTCCAAAAAACAGTTCCTCTACTTCAGACACTTGTGTTGAATCCGATGGAATTTGCTTCACCCCTGGATTTCCAGTAAACTGTCCCAAAGCAGGCGATTTGTCTACTTTTCCCCATATGGCTCTCCCCGCAATGTTGCTACCCACACTTTCGTCAGAGCTACTGTCACTTTCACTTCACTTTCACTGTCTGTGGCCACAATTTTTTGTTCACCCCTGCCACACTCACTATCAGATTGTGAGTCGCTATCACTAGCAGACTCACAAGGGACGTCAGATAGCTCATCGGAGAACAAGTCAGATATTTCTTGTTCTCCGAGAAAATGCTTGGACCTCAACCTCTTCCGACCTTGATCCATTTTGCACTAGTAACTTCCTGCCTGGTGCATGCAGCTGGAAGATGAACAAAGGCATTTTCTTTTGGAGTGAGAAAGGAAAACACTTGGGTCATAAACAGTGGGGTCATGTTACTGACTATGAAGCAAACATTCAAGAGGTCTATCACACACCAGTCATGCGTCTGCCTGGCGCCAGTGCAAGGTATAGTGTGTTTCAACATAATGTATCCTAAAGTCATAATAACATGCCACCGGTCCGTTACGTTTAAAAGCGCTGTGCATAAAAATATGCCACCAGTCCGCAAAGTGTTAATTTAGAGATGAACCAAATCAATTGAAACTTTATAATCACAAATACTTATTTTGTACATAATAAAAGTTTAATTTTTATCTGGACTATTATTTTACCTATTTAAATAATTCAAATATAGTGTCTAGGCATGTATTGTTAATCAGTGTTTAAGCAAAATTTGTTATAATTCACTGGGACTGAACATGGACAATTATAGAAATATCATTACTGAAGAGTAAAAATGTATTATAAAAAAACAGTAATAAAATGAATAGCTTGGGTCCATCCTTTACAATGTACATTATTCGTTATTGGTAATATTTAAGATATTAGTCCATAGCTTGATCTTAAATTGACCTGTTTAGTCATGTTAACAATGGAGTGTAGTGCCTGTTTTGAAATAATCACAACAGTTGAATGGCCCCAACTGAGCAAATTTTTGGGCACATTTGTGATGTGGAAGCTTCCCACATTGAAGCAAGCACTAGCCAGTCAGCGTGTACCACAGCAGGTCTGATGCCCATTGAGCTGGGCTTTGGAGTCTCCCTACAGCGGCCTCTACCAAGTCCTGTCACAGACAAAGAAAGCACTGCAACTATTGATGTACGGCATACCCATCACCGTGTCGACAGGTAGGGTCAAGCAGGCTTACATCCTCAATGGGACTGACCGAGGGCGCAACACCTTCAACCCCACAGTAGCACCACTTACAGTGCCACCACAGGCTGCCACATGAACTACATGCCCTGGTCACCATGTCCATTTCATCTGAGGAAGGTGATGTGGGAGACTCCCACATTGAAGCAAGCACTAGTCAATCTGCGAGGAGCATGGCAGCTGCAACGCCCATTGGGTCATGCACCACTAGCGACAGCATATAAAGATGTGGACCTCCAACTCACTAGTCAGTCACAACTACACTTACATTGAGACAGGCCGCACCATAGCTCAAGTGGTAAGTTGCTGGCTTCCCACCACGGCGGCCTGGGTTTGATCCCGGATCTGGTCAAGTGGGATTTGTGGTGGACAAAGTGGCGCTGGGGCGGGTTTTCTCCGAGTACTTCAGTTTCCCCTGCCAATCTTCATTCCATAAAATTCTCCATCATCATAATCACCCGGGGCAGGTTACAATAGGCCAATCAGTGGCCGCCATACCAAGTGGACCCAATTGGACTCCACCCCCCACTAAGCAAATTTAAATTTTTTTTTTACATTGAGACAGCTTATCTGGAGTGCAGACAGCAGCAGTGAGTCTTCTAGCAGCAACATTGTCAGCAGATGTAAGGAAGACTGGCCGGTTTGCAGTCACCTGGCTGCCGTTGCAAGGAAGACCAGCCAGCTCACAGTTACCTGGTTGCCAACGCAGAGAAGACCAGCTGACTTGCAGTCATCCAGCCACCAACACAAGGAAGACCAACAAACCAGCTCACCATGGCTGGAGTTTCACTGGCATTCATTGGGCGCACTCTGCCTTCAAGTTACAGCCCTTTTTAGGGCCCACAGCACCTCACTGGTTACTGCACACTCTATACTTGCCTGTTCCTCTGTATACTCTCCTTCTAACAGCAATAAATATCTGTTATAGAAATTTACATGGTTGTCTCTTGATGCTACTGGACCTGACATCCCACAATAATTTGTATTAATGTCCCTACCTTTTTCCTGCGTTCAAATGTACCAGAAACTGAAGGTGGACTGCACCCACATTACAGTGCGTATCATGGTCTTAGTACGTTAAATATGATTTTGAGATAGGTTATCATTTTTCATATGGAACACAGAAGTCAGGATGAACTAGTTGAACTTTTTGATGCCTATCATTGTGAAGTATTGTTATAAGGGTATGTTGTGTTAAATTCGTATATGATAAAATATCTGTAGAAGAGGTCACTTGGAAGACCTGCTGAGAGACTGGAAGGTAATATTAAAATAAATCTTAAAGAAACAGGATAGGAGTGTGTGGACTGAATTCATTTGGTAAAAGATGGGCCTCAATGGTGAGTTCTTGTGAATATAGTAATGACAGACAACTTGTTTATGACCCTGTCTTGAGTATCTGAGCAGCTTTTAGCTTCTCAAGATGTTCTTTGCCCCATGGAGTTAGTTATACATAATATAACCTCTAATTTATTAAGGAATATTTTGAGCGAAGTGAGTATGTGAGAATCCATGTTCTAAATTTCAGATCTTGTGAAATGTAAATGATTGCTGTCTTCCTTTCGTCATTCTTCGCAGCTCACATTACAATACCACTGTCTCATTTAATACTAAAAGTTGTCTTTGTTGATACAGTGTCATTATGTAACTTATGAATGAAGTCGTGATCTGGTAACAGAACGTTATTCGTGGAACCGTGTAGGCCATAGAAAGATGAGGTTGGCACAAATATGCTTCACCCATCTTGGCGAGCCATTAACAACCAAATTTACCACAGCAGAGTATCGCTGATGCCATATGTGATATATAGCTCCTTTTCATTTTCTTTGTTCGTAAAAGTGTGTTTCTGTTTCCCAAGTTGTTTTCTTTTGACTGCAGTATTTGTGACATACATGTATTTATGCTAAACAGCAACATTCATGATCATTTGAGGAGATGTATACCACTTTGGATTTCTTGAAAAAATGTTATACAGTTGGATAGAAATTTGGAGTTCTTGCTGCATCTAGGATATCATTTATATGTGAGACCAGTGAAAATCTGCTTGTACTGGATAGAAGCTCATGATCTGCAAGTTGGAAAGACATGTTTAAGCATCTGTACCTAATTCCTTTTTTTTTCAATACATTTGTATCACATTTCTGAAAAATGGTTCATCATACCCAGTATGTGTACATACTCGTATTTAGTTAACATTTTGAAGAGCTCTACCTTCTGGAGCATAATGCTCTGTAATACACTGAAAGTCAACTGACGTTTTGGAGGAATATGCAGCTTCCATTTTCAGGACCAAAGAATAAGCCAAGCAAGAAACCAGCATGAAGCAGTTAGCAAGCAGAGCACTGCTTCATGCTGCCTGACTTCAAATGGGTCCATTCTTACCTCTGCAGCATGCAGACGCAGTAGAGACTCAATATGTTATCATTAATTACAGCTGAGAAGAACATTCTTCAAGACTTAGAAAACAGTCCAAACTTCTTTCAGTGACAGATATTTCCCCCCCCAAAAAGTTTCATGAAATTGAAGTAGAGGGTGTAGTAAAGGAAGGTTAAGCTCAATAGTCAAGAACCATTTTTTCTTAGTTTAGATTTCCTTCCTCATTTATTCTTTAACTCCATTATTTTTTAACTCAAATTTGCACTGTTGTTTTGTACAGTACTTAACTGTCAAAACTTTCATGACCTCCTGGCTTGGGGTTTGGCTAAGACATTTGGGAAAGTCATGCTCCACTAAGAAGAAGTGTGCATATCATTTCCCTATTGACAGTTCAGTTTAACATATGATATAATAGATGTATCATTACATTATCACATGTTTGAAATATCATTATGTTACCTGAATAGTGCATGTTAATGGTAAAATATTTCTACTGTGAACATAAAGTAGGACAGGCTGTCAAAAGCAGGATCTGAATGAGGTCTGTTCTTCATTTTTTCAGAAATAAAAAAAATTGTTTCATGCTGTCAGTCCTTAGGCAACATTGCCATAAGTTGACAAAAGTTTACCCTGTTTTACGTATTACTCAGTTATTATGTTTTGAATTACTGAAAATAAAGTTTGTTTGGTTATTAGTTAAAAAAGGTAAAAGGTAAAGTTATCCCTGTAACAGGTCGTGAAGGCCCACAGGGTTGTGAGAGGTTGAGGCTCCCTCATCTAGACAATCGGCTCACAGATGTTGGTAAGGTTGTCAGCCTTATGCGCTGTCCACCCTTTACCCTTGGGAAGATTCCTGTTACTCATTTCTGCTAGAGGCTGAGTCGACCTCAGGGCCATGATGAAGCTGGAAGGATTAGGTAAATTGAAAAAATCCAGCTCATTGGGGCTTGAACCTGCGACCTTCCAGCTCATAGCATAGTGCCTCAACCAACTATGCTACGGCGTACTCCTGGTCATTGGTTACACAAAAGTTAATTTTTTTTTTTTTTTTGTAATACGTCATGATGCTCTAAAATTATAATGTTTTCATGAAGAATCAATGAATGAAAAGTAATGTATTTTTATTAACCTTTAAACAAAAAGCAGTTAAATGTCAAGTGCAATGAAACTGCAATGCCCATAAGTTGTTTTTTGAGCAGGAACAATGTTATAGTTTAAATATACATGAATCACATCATCTTTTATTGTAGCAAACCTCAAAACTTACTGTCTTTCCTAAATGATTCCATTCTAACTTACATTTGTATTTCTTCTAATAAGGAATGGCTTCCTGTAGAATCATCCTATAAAAATAGGATTCTTGTACTAATATTTTGAATGTACTGTTGATTTCAAGATCCTCTCTTGTTTTAAAACATTCAAGGATATATCCTTCCAGATCTGTTCTAGGGTGAGGCAAATGGGGTGACCACCCATTGTCCCATTCTTTTGGGACATGCTGCACATCAACAACAACAAAATAAGTAATACTTCTTGTGCTCCATCCTAGCTCTTTCAAGGTAGCAAAGTTATAGATTAATTCTTCGATTTTCAATTTCTAATTGAATGCATATTGAATTGACATCTCTGTTGGTCCAACTACAATGTTCCTGTTTCTGTCATTTGGCATTAATAATACGTTTTAACAATGAACTCATTCTAGCTTATGTAACAGACTCTATGATTTAAATAAGAAATTTTGTTAATGCATTAGACATACTTTGCATTTTAAATTACTTACAAATTGCTTTATCTTTTGATCATGGTACTTTCTTCTGTTTTAGTTTTGTTTTTGGTTTTATTACTTAGTGTCTAAGTATAGTAGTGCCGATGTTTTTGAAAAGATCAGTCAGCAACAACAGATGAACACTGAACAACCAAATATGACTAATTTAAGACATTAGTTGAGACATTATTTAATCAGCATAAATGTGAAAATGTTGAAGGAAGAAGAAGCATAAGTACGTGTGAGAGTATAGTTGTGTGCAGACTGTGTTGACAATTCATTCCATACAGTACTGTGAATTAATTCAATGTTTGGATTTTTTACTGTGACATTGCACAGAACGGGAAAGCTGTAAAATGATAGTGGTTGATGTTTCGATAAATTTATGGGCATGCATTAACCATGACTAACATAGGTAGGAATTGATGGTGAAAATATTTCTTGAGACCTGAGAAAAATGATCTGTTTGGCTGATTGAATTCATAATTATGAATAACTGATCACCAGTGTTAAGTTATATGTTGATAGTAGTGTTGTCGATAGATAACACAGAATATGGAGTTGTAAATGGCAGATTAAGTGGTAGAACTGAAAAATCCTGCTGTAACATAGTTATGCTGACTAGTATTCTGCTCAGATTTGCATTTTAGGTTTCATATTTTTTGTTATATAATAGATGTGATCATCATTATCCCTCAGAGAACTGAAGACGAAGCCTTCAGTTATGTCTAGGAAGTCTTCTCTTTACAGCACTGCTGTCACTTTCATGGCTTATATGTAGGCATGAATGGTAGCTGGGCGAAAAACTTGTGTCTGGAACAGAAATTAATCTTTTTTGGTTGGTGAATCTTACATTGCATCGCATGTGAACAGAGTAGGATGAACTGGGGCTGCAGCTCATAGCTCATAATTTCTTGTGACTCACACTTCAGTATCACATCAGTGACATTTTTATTTTATTTGTAGTTGCTGTAAATTTTGTTCTGAGGATTATGAACAGTGCATAGAAGGTTAAGTCCTCCCCCCCCCCTTGTTTGTAAATAAATTCCCACATACAGGTGTTTCACGACTTCAGGGCATAACTGCAGGAGGTGATTTCCCATGTCTTTGTGATCAAAAAAGTTCATATAAACATGTGTCCGATTTTGGACGGTTACAGAGTTATGACCATTTTAAACTCAGAATAGAAGGTAACGATTACTGACAATAAACGGAACAAAATAATAAACCAGCATAATACATGATACATTTAAAGTATGAATGTAAAGTTAACTTCGTGAAATTACCTTTAATTTGAATTTATTGGTGCTTAAAGCTGATTTTCGAAAATGCCACCGCCGGCCGCAACACAGGCTGCCGCTCGGTTGTGAACCGCGCCGGACATACCAACCCACCCCGCCTTAGGTACCTCTCAAGTGTCGAGATAACGAGAACGCTCTGTCTGTAGCTGGCTAAAAATAGCGACCCGCCAGATGATAGACGCGGTTCACACGAGGGCGTGTACGGGAATGAAAAAACGGTCATAATTCCGTAACCGTCCAAAATCGGACACATGTTTATATGAACTTTTTTGATCACAAAGACCTAGGAAATCACCTCCTGCAGTTATGCCCTAAAGTCTTGAAACACCCTGTATAGTAAGAAACAGCTTGCAATTAGATGTACAATCAGGATCTTAATATTGCTAGAAGCAGTGTCAACTGAAACTATGTGGTGAAATCTAACAAGGATGCTATTTTAAGCAAAATTCTTGACTGATAACAAAGTGTGTGTTTTTTCTTTTCTTTTTACGTTTAACTGTAAATTTTTATCTACATAATTTTTCTCCCATATATTTATGGTAATACTAATAGCTGCCATAAGCCATACCTTCTGAGGTATTCCATGCCCACAGGAAAGTCATAGGTGCTAGGTAATTCTGCTTTTTCTCTGTCAGATACCAACTGCATCTGCTCACGCCAAGCAATCAGGCCACGGTCCTTTGGTGTACCTAAAAATACAAACAGTCGTCTAGGTGCCTGTTTGAGGATGTAGATACTGTAATCCAGTAAACAACTTCATAGCAGGAGACCAAGTCTCTCTGGCCACTTGCATATTTCATCTCTGAAACTACTTAACAAATTTCATTATAATTTTAAATTTGAAGTTTACACTAAAAGTTGTCAGACAACTCTTATTTTGTTTTATAAAAGTACATATTTCAGTCAAATACAGATTTTATTGTAAATAATTAAAAAATTAGTTAAAAGATTACATGTTTTGGCGATTTTTGATTGAACCATCAACAGACCTTTATATTTTAAATGTGAAGAGAAAGCTTTATATGTGAATTTTTTAAGCACCTCATAAATACACATAATCAACAGTAATAAATATGATGTATGGGTAATTGCTAAAAGTATAAATATTGGGACAGGCAAGAGGATTTTTTTTTTTATTCCTGGGAGGCATTTCACAAATGAGAATATAGGTTTGGATTGCATACCGTTGTTTGGAGAATTAAGCTGTGTTGTCGTGTGATGTTGGTATTTTTGCAGTGGTGCCTGGTGAGGGACTTGGTTTTGGCTTGTATTGGTCCAATATAATCTTTAATTGACTCAAAGCTCAATTCAAACTCATACTGTGAAATATGGATATATAACATTTTCTTTCCGAGCATCTTAGTTTAGGTCTCTTGATCTGTTTTCGCCCCACATTTCTTGTCTTCTTCTCCTAGCATTCTCTCCATTTTACAGGGTGTTAGGAGTGAAAAGTCTGCAGTCACTCTGGTCTTCCTTTTTCAAGTTCATGCCAGACCATTTGTCTTTTCTTGATGTCTTTAAATGTTCTGCTAAACCATCTTATTCTGAATTGTCCCATGGATCTCATTCCTTTAAATTTGAACTCTGATTCCCTTCTCAGTATCCTTGTTCTAGCCATTCTCTTTACAATTGCAGTTGTTCTAATCCTGTTAACAAATCTTGGAATCTAATATTTTCTCAACAGATTTCATACCTAATTCTGCACTTTCTTTCCTTCTCCTCAAAACAGTGAAAAACAACATATTTTTGTAATTGATCTATCCAGTTCCTTAAAGATCTTCCTAAATCCTACCTCCCTGTGGGTTTATAGTATTTGGCTTCTTCAAAGCCAAAGATGACACCACTGACATACCTGGTATGATGTGATCAAAGACACAACCTATGATTCCGCCTATCAGTATACTGGTACTAAGTAGGACTGTGATGGTGTTATCAGCTATGTCACTGCCAGTCTTAATTACGTCTGGGTGTGCTTTCACCCATCTAGTCAGCACCTGGAAGGAAATTTAAAGAAACATACTTTGTGATATCTCATGTTCATTGTACTTCTGTCTTGACTATATGTTTGAGTAATCCATGCAAATGCAGGATTACAAACTGCGTCTACTGAACTCTTAACAAAATCTGTTTGCCCATATTGTGTTTCATAAGATTCACTTTTATAGAGTTTATTAAAACGCAATGTAAAATTAAGACAAAAATATTTTCTACAATATTTGGCAACCAGAGTGTTGTGAATATATCTCATAAGCCCTAATGACAGGTTTCTTGAGATAATATTCAAAAGGGGCATGGAAGATAAAGGATAGAAACATGAAAAACAATTTAGGTAGGATAGCATACTACTTTAAATGAAGTTTGACTATATGCTGAATTATCAGTATGGTTCCTGTATACAGCAGAGTAATTCCACAATGTGTGACTGGTGAAACAGAGGTGGCAGTTCTCATATTAACATGAATGCATGTTCGCCTTGTTTTCTTTTTTTTTGACAGAATATCTTAGAAAATCTTAAATGTAGGTGGAAGGTCAAAACAATTGAGAAATTTGTTTAATCTATGCAGCATCAAATAAGTGCAAGTATTAATTAAGATCTACTAGCTCTATCGATTGGGCCAAAGTGTGAGAAGGTTTTACCTGAAGACAGAGACAGAATCCGGTCTCTGTAACATTGTTTTTAAATCAAAACAGGACAGTGTTTTAGAAAAAAACAGAAGCATGGATATTGTCCAGAAAAACAATGTTTGTATTAATATAACTGTTATTTGAAATCACAGTTTCTACATAAAATAAGGCTAAAACCTGAGAGCCAAAGTTACATATTCTTATTTTGTCGCATTCCATATTGACAGTCCTTAAGTTTTATATGTATTTCATAAACTCTTGTGCCTAATTTATATTTGAAAGTGTTCAATGTGGAAGATTATATGCCTGTTCAATTTTAGTATCACATGGGCGCATTTTTATATCCTAAATAAATATGAAGAATTCCATCTTCCAGGATGTGGCGCCACATAGATCTTGTGTGAACCGATGTTTCGGAGGAACGTCAGTTCACACAAGATCTACATGGTGCCACATCCAAGAAGACGACATTCTTCATGGTCACTGCAGTAAAAACCTCAATCTTGCCTAAATAAAAATGTTTAGATATGCTAGTAATGATCAGATTTTCTACACTATTATATATACTGTACAATGTGATAACATAGGATCTGATCTCTTTGGTAATCTTATTGCTGTTTTACTGGTCTGTGAATCAGAAAGTCTGAGTACCACAGTCACAAAACATAGTGAAATCTTTAAATTTCTACTGTGAACTTACAATTGAGAAGAATACTGAGAAACCAACAATGTACAGATTCCTTGATGAATTTAAGTTCACGTACTGCAGAGCTGATAAACCTGTAATAAGCATAAAAGTTCTGGTATCTTTAAAATTAAATGACTCTTGTACATCATATACTTCCAAGTTTCTGTGGTTTACATGATTGAACAATGGACCAAGTCACATTTTGACTTTTTATACATTATAAGAACAAGAGGATGAGATGACAGTACAAAATTATACAACAGATTCAACTACAGAATAAAAATTAATGGTGATGATGGTCCATAGTCCAAACTATATTCATAATGTTTATGACATGTATATACTGTATATCCACTAGCAAGAAATTTGCAGAATACTGCCAAATTATTTGAAGACCTCAAAACATATGACATTTTACTCATGACAGAAACTTATAAAATATTGTCATTGACTACAAACAAACGGTATTTTTTGGAAGCTACGGGTCGTTTGTCACATGTTCCAAAGTTTTTACTTAGTTTCTAAAAAATGTGGTTTTCACAGGCTGGCTTCCTTATGTTAATCTAAGATATCATAAATTCTAAAGTAGATGATTCTATGTAAAGTAACCACAAAATTGTGTACCATCAGCACTTCATTTTAGAGGGTAATACAGCCAAGTTCCTGTACATAAATTTTTACTGACATTCGTGTCTCAGTTGGAGGGACAAGGGTATGCAATTAAATATAATGCAGCAATTAGACATAATACATATATGCATACTCAATATGAAAATTAATAGTAGTATTACTTACTTACTTACTCATGGAGCTGAGCCCTTCTGGAGGAGCCCCCAATTCTGCAGCTACTCAAGAATTTCCTAGCATTTCATGGAACCCAAAGGTTCATTACTGTGTTCACAAGAGCCCTCCACTGGTTTTATCCTGAGCCAGAACAACCCAATCCATACCATGTCATTCTATCCCTTTAAGATCCATTCTAATATTGTCCACCCACCTACGCATTGGTCTTCCCAGTGGTCTCTTTCCTTCTGGCTTTCCCACCAATATCCTATACACATTCCTTGTCTCCCCCATTCGTGCTACATGCCCTGCCCACCTCATCCTCCTTGACTTGATCATTCTAATTATACTTGGAGAAGAGTAAAAGTTATGAAGCTCCTCATTATGCAGTTTTCTCCAACCTCCTGTCACTTCATCTCTCTTCGGTCCAAATATTCTCCTCAACACCCTGTTCTCAAACACTCTCAGTTTATGTTCCTCCCTTAATATCAGCAACAAAGTTTCACACCCATACAGAACAACAGGCAAAATTATAGTTTTGTATATTCTAATTTTTATGTTCTTGGACAGCAGAGGAGAAGACAAAAGGTTCTGGGCTGAATGGTAGCAAGCATTACACGAGTTCATCTCCTAATTTCCTCCTGAATCAGGTTTTGATCTGTTGTTCATTGTTCCCAAATATCTGAATCGTGCCACATTTTCAAAACATTTGTTCCCTATCTTTATATCATGATTTTGCTTGCATTTTGGAGATGAGACAGCAACGTATACTTAATTTCCTCAGTGTTTACTTCTAGACCAAACTCTTTACTTGTGTCAAATAAATGTTTGTGTCCTTTTCTTTATGGTATCTACATTATCACCCAGTAGATTCACATCATTGGCATAGGCCAACAGCTGATGTGTCCCATTTAATTTCAGTCCCACCTGGTTTCCCTGGACCTTCCTAATGTCATATTCTAAAGCAAAGTTGAAAAGAGTGGTGATAAAGCATCTCCTTGTTTTAGACCATTCTGGATAGGAAATTTATCAGACAACTGTTTACCTACATGGACTTTACTATACATTCCGTTTAAACGCATTTTAATCAACCTAACTAGTTCCATGGGTATCCCAAACTCTATCAGAATATTGTACAATACTTCCCTCCTAACCGAATCATAGGCTTTCTTGAAGTCTATGAAGAGCTGATGTACTCTCTCATCGTACTCCCATTTTTTTCTCCAATATATTACGACTGTAAAAGATTTGATTAGTAGTTGATCTGTTACGTGGAAACCCACACTGATGAACCAAATAATTTTATCTATATATGGACTTAACCTTGAAAGAAGAATATTGGACAAAATTTTGTATGAAGTTGATAGCAGTCATATCCCTAGATAATTACTACAGTCAGTTTTATCACCCTTCTTGTGAACTGGTACAATAATAGACTCCTTCCACTGATCAGACAATTTTTCCTTAAGCCAATAGACGTAATTAGAATGTGGATCTTAAAATGTAATATTTCACCTCCTGCTTGAATAAGTTCTGCCGGAATTTGATCACTACCTCAAAAGGGCTAGGATCAGGTATTAACGGCTCAGCTGTATCTATTTCTGTCTGCCTAACATCACTGACCCTATGTACATTCAATAACTGAGAGAAGTAGTTCCTCCACCTATTCAAAATATTATGGGAATCTGCGAGCAGATCACCATTCTCATCCTTCACTAAGTTACTGCTAGGCTGGTAACCACTCTTAAAGTCATTTATTCCTCTATACAGGTCTCTAATATTCTTGTTCTTACTGTTCATTGCAAGCTCATCAATTTTTTTATTTCAGATATTCCCTCTTTTCATTCCTGAAATGCCTGCTGGTTTCACGTCTTATATTGTTTAGATTATCCCCATTTAACTCGCTTGGATCCTGTAACCATTGCAATTTGGCCTGCTTTCTCTGATCTAATAATTTTAAGCATCCTTCATCGAACCATGGCTTATGCTTCTTCGGTTCATAATAACCTAGACTCTCTTTATCAGATATTTTTATATTCTCTCTAATAGTTTCCCAAGCTTTATTAACATTCACCTCAGTTTCCAAGTTTTCTAAAGCCGCAAACTTATTTGAGATTTCAACTCAACACTGCTCTTTACCCTCTGCCTCATTTAATTTCTTGAGATTGAACCTCTCCATATGAACTCTGTCGTTTGTATGCTCACTGCCAGCCTTTCCCTAACCGTAGTATTATTTGCTTTTATTTGTAAGTTGAAATTTAGCTTTTTTTGCAAAAATATTAGTCTTTTTTGTAAGGATTACTTACCAAAAGCAACAATTATACCAAACATGACGCAGAACATGCCTCCAACAATAGGCTGAGGGATAATGACAAAAACTGCACCAAACTTGGTGACGAGGCCAACAACCACCATGAGGATAGCTGCACACTGGATTACTCGCCGACTTCCAATCTGTACCAATAGTCAATGGATTGAGTATGATTACATGGATAATATTAAGAGGTTTTACAGTTTTATATAAATTTTTGCTACCTATACAGAGCAATGTGCAGGTTACTTAAACATGACAACATTTTTCACAAATTTTGTGAAGTGAAATTTGTCATTCAGGAACTTGGAAGCAAGATTAGCAAAGTGTACAAGACATGTATCACATACATGAATGTTCATAGGGACAGTTTCAGTGCATGAAAAAGAACACCTTATAAGAGGAAAATATGTAAAGTGTTCATATCTTAATTGGTACATATTTTGTTTGAAACATGATCTTGTTGTGACATGGTTTGCATCAGTTGCATGTTTAGCTACAGGAAGAACAATCATGATGCCAAATAAATGACTCCTTGGAACAAAGGCATTATTGAGAAAGCGATAAAATGAACTGTTCACGAAATTGCCTGTCATTTATGTTTCCTGAAATTTCATTACTATGTTCACAAGAGCCTCCCACTAGGCCCTGTCCTGAACCAGTTAAATTCGGTCTACAACCTCACACCCTGCTTCTTTTAAGATGCATTTTAATATTATCTGTTCACCAATGCATTTTCTTTCCTGAAATTTCATTACTATGTTCACAAGAGCCTCCCACTAGGCCCTGTCCTGAACCAGTTAAATTCGGTCTACAACCTCACACCCTGCTTCTTTTAAGATGCATTTTAATATTATCTGTTCACCAATGCATTTTCTCCTCAAATCTTAAAATTTTGTAAAAGTGTGTTTTCAGTACAACTACAATACATTCATACTAACAAACAGACACATCTCTACAAATTGTACTGGAACAAGGCTGTGTTTAATTCTGAGTGTAGTACTAAATATTTTTAAGTTTAAATTTATGTGGGGGGGTTTTACATTCTGTTTATTACCTTAGTGACACCAATTGCGGCCACATTCTCTCCAAATGTATTTGTACCATTTCCAGTGCCAAAGAGTCCAGCTACAATGGTGCCAAGCCCCTCAATGACAATACCCCGATTAATAACATGGACTGGGGGTGGTGGTGCATCTGTAACATTAAAAATTTTCTGTTACTTTGGATTCCATTCCAGTGACCAGTTTTTTACCCCATACTTCCCAATTCCAACAATAATGAACAGTGTTTTTCATATAAAAAAAGCCCCAGTATTATACTCATATATAACATTACTTCTATTCTCCCTTTCCTTTTATCTTGTTACCGTTCTGTACTTCTTATTGTTTTCTTTCTCTCGTTTTTCTTTCTTTCTTTCATTCTCTGTCACTGTTCAGTTGCAAGGTAGGTTATAAAGTGTGATCTATTTGTCTATGTGTATGATCAGTCACTTTTCTCATCACAGTATACCAGTTTGCCACTATGTTTTTGGAAGGCTGTAAGAACTTCAGATGGTTTGTTATGTGAAAAGGGATCATTTCTTCCTCAGAGCAAAACGTCATATCTTTCAGGTACATATTAACAAGTAGTTGATAGTATGGAAAGCAACACAGCTTTATAATGTGAACAGAAAATTAATGTAAGATATTTTCATAAAAATAAACTGTATCATTGTCTTGTAGAATTTTGACTGCTCTGCCAGTTAATAATTCAAGTATGTGTAACTGTTAGGAAAATCTGCTGGATTTCAGACTCTCATGTCAGTGACTATGGTGAGTATGGTGTTTTGATTTATAATGCCATGTAGTTCAGAGAGAGCCCAACAATTCAGAGGAACATACTTCATCCACATTAATAGTCAAAGATTATGCCAAGCAAGAAATCAGTAGAAGCAGGTGGCAAACTGATCATTTTTCTTGTTTGGCTTGTTCATTGACCCTGAAGATGGAGGCAGTATGTTCCTCCAAATTTCGTTCCCTGTCCAAATTACACTATATTACAATTTAAAAGATTATACTCTTAATAGGAAACTGATTTAGGCCATGGTGAAATCTTACATCACTGAAGCACAGTGTATGGCTTCAATTGAAACATGGTTTACATACCACACAGTCTAGCAGTGGTGGGGTAGAAACTGATTGACTGCACAGTGCATGCTAAGACACCTGCCATCATTCCCAGCACACCTGATGGGGTGATTTTTGGCACACCCCACTGCCCTGTAATAGAAAACAAAAACTGCAATGAAAAGTAAGAATATCTAGATTAATAAACGAAATGTAAGAGGGGAGCTTCAGAGAGTAAGAGAAGTTTTAAAATAAATGAACAAAATTTACCCACTTTTTTGAAGTCACTCTTCATTTTTGATGTCAGGTTTGTGTTTACCTAGTACAATTACTGACAGCTAATTAAAGGTTAATGTAAGATAGACTTCATGGCACAAAATTTACATTGAAGCATCAGTGTTGTTACATAAAATATTTACATGCATTTTGAGAGGAAATTAGCAGAATTTGAATATTTACAAACCACTTGGACGTTTTCACTACTTACTACTAAGTTTTTAGCTCAATGTTAGGATTAATGAGAATCCCTACACATGGAAAATTTACAGGAAATTAGGAAAATGATGTAGGAAAATATGAAATACTGAATTCTTATGGTTTAGGATATGTAATTTAAAGTGGAAATATGAGTATAACTAAGGAACCAGGTCCATGGAGCAGTGTCCTTATTGAGAAGCTGATATTCACTCAACTAATCGAAAAATTCCCCATCTTTTATGCAGTATGAAGATTTGATATGTTGGATTTGAAGTTCTCATGTTTGTGACTGTGAAGAATATGGTTTTCAGAGCTGTAATGGCATGCAGTATGTACTAGTCAATATAATGTTCATAAGAGCTCATAACTGGACCCTGTCATAAATTCAGTCTTCATCTTCACATCCTAATTATTTTCCATCTCAATATTGCCCATTCATCAATGCATAGGTCTTCCAAGTGATATTTTCCTTCAGGTTTTCCAATTAAAGTTTTTTGCACATTTTATCTCCTGTGTGTACTGATAAACCAGCTCATTTTCTCCATTTTAACCACTATAATAATATCTGGTGAAGGTTATAAACTATGACACTCCTCATTGTACAGTTTACTTCATCTTTCTCTTAATTAATCTCTGTTAGATTTAAACATTTTTGTCAGGACCCTTTCCTGATATTCTCAGTCTATAATTTGCCCTCGAGTTAGAGATCAAATTTCACATTCATACAAAATAAATTAATAGTATATTTTGTAGACAGGCGGTGGGAATATAAACGTAGAATTATATTGTCACATGTTTTAGTGACTTGTAGATGGGGTTTGGATTGGTGAATTGATTTATTGGACACTCACATGTCGTAAGTGCCTATTTATTAGTCGTTACTTGGTTACACTTCAACTGTTGAATCCTCCATCCTCAGTCCTCATTCCTCTGGATCTCTCTCTCTCTCTCTCTCTGGCTGTCATGCCACAGTATGTAAACATAAATGGTCTCTTACAAATACTTAAACATCAAAACGAAACTATGTTATAGACTGGAATGTTCTGCACATGTTTGGATTTCTGAGTTTCCTGTTTCATGATCACTTACCAGGATATGGAATACGAAACCAAGGTGAATCCTCAACAATCTTTATCTTGAAATCTGTCCTGGCTGGATGTTCTTCTGGTAGATGTCCAGTTAGGGTCAGTAGGCCACACAATCCCCACATTACCATGACAGTCAGCAACACCTGGAAGAACAGTAGCGCTTCTTGTAGGAATGGAATTTTATTTTTCAGCATTTATATTTAGATGGTATGATATGAAAAAATTAGTAATGATAATGGAGTTAGAGTAGTAAACTTTTCCACATCAAAAACTTGTACTGTCAAAAGTAAAATGTTCCCACATAACATTCATAAATTTACATGGACATTTTATGATGTGAAGACGCACAAACCAAACTGATCATATTTTGATACATACGAGACTGCACTCAAGTATACTTGATGTCCGATCGTTCAGGGCAGCAGATTGTAATACTGACCACTACCTGGTGGTGGCAAAGGTTAGGGAAATACTGTCAGTGAGTTCTTATTAAGAAACGTTCAAGGTAAGGGCTTGTACCTCACTGAAGTGCTGAGCTTTGATGTAATTTGAAAAAAAAAATGTGTTATGTGAAATCTTCACTTCCTAAATGAAATCCACGATGACCAAAGTGAAAAGAAGAAAAGGGAGTTAAAGAAATAAAACAGGGTACCGGTGTAAGAGGCGCAATAGACAGATAAGTATTGTTTAGTAAAGTAAAAGTAAAGTAAAGCTATCCCTGTAACAGGCCGTGAAGGCCCATAGGATTGTGAGACGTTAAGGGTCCCACATTACCTTGACAGTCGGCTCAAAGATGGCGGTAAGGTTGTCAGCCTTACGCGCCGGCCGCGCTTCACTCCCCAGGAAAATTATTTAATTAATTCCTGGTACTCATTTCTGTTAGAGGCTGAGTAAACCCCAAGGCCTAGTGCGGCCGGAAGGATTAGGTCAATTGAAAAGAATCCAATGACCTCATCGGGACTTGAACCCGCGACCTTCCGAAGTATTGTTTAGATGAGAATAAAAAAGTGTCATAGTATACGTTATACGTAAGAAAAGGGTAAACGCATATGAATACTATCTGAACGATCTTAGGAATCGAACATTCACATTTCAACAAAATGCAATTTTGAGAACGGGAGCCGGGATAGCGCAGTGAGTATAGCGACCGGCTATGGGTTGGACGACTGAGGGATCGGAGTTCGAGGACCGGTAGGGCAAGACTTTTCTCACTTCCATATCGTGCACATCGGTGCTCGAACCCACCCAGCCTCTTATCCAATGAGGACTTGGGGGCTCTTTCCCCGGGGGTAGAGCGGCCGGGGCGTAAAGCTGACCACTCGCCTCCAACTAGTGCCGAGGTGAAGATAGCGCAGGTACAGCCCGTACATCCTCTCCAGATGGACATTCATGGTGTAGTGCTTAATTAGTTAAGCACAGGGACAACCTTACATTTTATATTTTTGAGAATTCACAAAACAGACGCAGAAAGCCCAACAGAACAGTTTTTAAAGATATTCTGATTCTTCGGAACAAGCCGCTAAAGTGATTTTTGACATATACAACGTAATAGTCACGTTACTGAGAGAGAAGGCAGTATTTTAAAGGATTGTTTGGGTGTTGCATCAGAAAGGTTTCGTTGCACAGACTGCGCGGAAAAGCATCGTAAAGGCGGGTAGCTGACATTTCAAAGTCAACGAATTGTAGTTTTCTGATTCGTTTAACAAGAGTGTATACTACTCACTGGATGTTGGTAAATCAACGACTATTACTTCTACTGGGAAATGTGTCGAAACATCTGATTTTGAATCAAATTTTTTAAAATCGTTTCTTACTGGTGAATGTAAATATATACACATAACCTGTTGTCAGATGAACGTTTTATGTCAGTCCTTTGACTGGTCACAACAAGAATCGCACGGGACTGGAAAGCTAACATCCGCCGTGCAGACTCAAAAGTCGCATTAGTAAGTTAACATTGTAATTGCATATTCAAAATATTTTTATCTGTATAGATATTTATTTATTAATAATTAATTTTCTTAACACAATTTTTATAAAATAAATATTGTGGAGTGCCGCCTAAAAGCCGGAATATTGAAGTCGGAAAATAACATTTTAATTGCCGGGCAACGGCTCAATAAGCGTTGTTCCCGCAACAACCAGTATGCTGAAGATAAAATGAACGTGTTACCTAAAAATGAAAACACGTTCCCGCTGCAACTAATAGACTAGCTACCGATACACTAGCTAACACGGGAAACGAAACCCTTGAGAAGGGTGTTTTCTAGTCCGTCCGACTGTAGAAGATAAGAGACCAGAGAAGACAAGAACGGCGGTCAGATCAGAGGAGACCAGAGCGGAGGTCAGATCAGAGGAGACCAGAGGAGAATTGAGAATAGGTCAGATCGGAGGAGAACAGAGAGGAGACCAGATCAGAGGCGAACGGAGCAGAGCTGAGAGCAGAAGAAACCATCTCAGCCAAGAACTAGAACACGAAACGTGAGAGACGACGGACTAGTCATGTTGCATCGTCTGGAAGACGCTATTTCAGAGTGATTGTAATTGTAACTGTAAACGAGTTATCCAATAAACGGCTTCACATAATCCGGAACCCATTAATTTCTTGTCGCATTACCAGGATACGTGACAGTATTTTAAAAATTTCATTTCCTTAAAAAGTAATTGAGCTTTGTTGCTAATGTTAACAAATACAAATGCTATTATCTTTACAAAATCTACATTGTGTCGCTCGCAGACCAAGGAAGTCTGGTTACATGACCATTTGAGGAAGAAATTTGTCCATCACTGTACTATAAAATCTTGTGTATCTGTTATGTACAAGCTATGTATGAAGAATGTAATATTTTGCTTATAGTCAGCAATGGAAGAGCCATTATTTGGTACAAGTAGTACCAATGTTAACAGTATATAATGAAGCATGATTAATTTCCACTTTTCCTTTCAACTGCTACATCTAAAATTTAAGGAATTGTAAATATGTTCTATTGGTATAAGTACTGCGATGAAACCATAATATTCCGCCAACTGAATGATGGTTAGACACTTAAATTCAATTTTAACTTCTCGTTCTTCAAACGTGTCACTTAACGCTTGGGAGAGTAGTCACAGATGAGAAAGGTGGCTCATAGCGAAGGTGTGAAGGTGTGTGAAGGTTCTATCTGGCTCGGATTAGATTTCAATGGCAGGGTTTTGTGAACACGGTAATGAATATGTATGTATTTATATATACCTTAGGTACTTAAGTCTAGTTAGTTTTAGTTAATGATATGTAAAATCGAAGTGGACAGATAGCAAAAGCCTGATGTTACCTGAGCATTAATTCAATTGCAATTTTGAAATAATATCCTTGAGGTAGAATACTAACCGGAAATAATTTGAAAAACTGAAACCAGATGATTTTGAAACCATGACGATATTTGTAGGTCAGCAACGGCACATGTACTTCCTTCAGAACCTGTGAGAATAGGGTCAGCATCAGGACTGTCCTGCAGTGCACAAAAGAAAAAGAGTAGGATCAGACTCTAAGCCTCTTTCAAATAGGTTTTTTTTAATGTTATATTTTAGCGTCCTGTTGCACTGATTTATGTCCATGATTTATTCTAGCCGTCTTACAGTGCATACACTCATCCACTTCACTCTTCACTCCTGCACTACATGTTTCGGCACAAAGGTGCCATCTTCAGGTGCTTATCGATTTACGTTAAACTACTTCACTGCATGCCTTGCTGTTTTCATACTAAAATAACTAAAATATATGTTCATCATATATATTGATAAGTATTAAACATTAAAAATATTAAAACTGTTTTTTTATCTCATAAACGGAAGCTATTGACAATGTTGAATTTGACGTCCTCACAGTTGTGTTTGTGAAGGGTTCTGTCTTCTGTTATGCGACGCCGTGTAGCTTGTACTTGCTCCATGCTGGATTCTTACTTGCATTATCATCTGATTTGAAGAACGAAACGATATGTTCAGCAAAACGTTCGTTGATTTTCACCGAATTACACGACGTTTTATACTAGAAGATAGAAATCTCCAAATAATAACAAATTTAACTCATAAGAACATCACAATCTAGTTGGGTGAAGATATACTAACCTACACAGACAGGCCTCACTTTCCTCTGAAGTGAAAAAACAATCTCAAAATATTAGAGGAATATCCATAAGATGGATATCAATGGTGAAGGTCATGAAGTGAAAAACGATTGGGAGTTGTGTTCTCCCTAACGTAGGGCTTCAGAAGGAGACGCTCTTCTCTTCATAATATTCAATTAATGTTTAGGATACAGTACATAAAAAAGTCGAGTTATGGCCTTCAGTAAAGTGGAAATCATAATGGGTTAAAATGGCAGGAAGTCAAAATTGTGAGACTACTTTTACTAAAAGTCCCCCATACTGAATTTAAATAAGTCTGCCCAACTGTTTATGCACTGAGATTAGGTCACGAACAGACAGGACCTTCGATATTTTTTCAGTGACATCAAATATGAAGTTTTATCGAAATCAATCCAGTGGCTTTCGAATTACGAGATAACAACAAATAGTTAATTTTATTCAGTTATCAGTGCATCCAGGATTTGCGATGAAGTGTATTGAACGAGAACTGTATGTTGCCTTTTCTCTGCAACTGTTGTTTGAATATTTTTCACTCTGACAATTACTTAGAGAGCTATGCGCTAGCTACGCTCTAGATAAGCATAGAAATGTATGTAGTTGTTTATCCGTTTTGTTTGATTTTAACAAAGTTGGCATTTGCGAGCAACGTGGAAAAAGCCTTACTAATTAAAAATTTAAAAAGTCTGCCCACCGGATTGGGCACTGACACTATGTCACAGACAGACGAATAGACATAAGACGCTCCATATTAATTACATTGATTGGAAATATTTTCATCGTTGATCACAGTAGTGGCATGGTCTAAGGCGCATGTGTTAGGTCGTTCGCATATTGCTATGTTTGCTCATGGATATACATAACTTTACTGTGTTCCTGCTTTTGTTTTGTCTTGTGTACGTGCAGACCTTGGGATGCCTGATGGCCTGTCTTCCAATTATCTCTAAGAGTCAAGTTTCAGTTGAAAATTTATCCCATTATAGTAACAGCTGGTGCTGAAAAGGCAGTAAAAGAGGGAGAATATTTGAAGCATTTAATTGTAAAAAGGATTTCATTTGTATTGGTTACGTTTTTCAATTTCAATAGAAAACCGAGATTAACGGCCGTGGGGATCCGTTGCGCTGACCGCGTGACACCCTCTATCCGCAAAAGTTGGCATTAACTTCACCGACAATCGGCGGTCGCTCGGTCGATATAGTTCTCTTGCGGACTACAGGCCCCGGAGTTTGTATGGTTGTAAATAACTCAGCATGCGGATTGTACTTACCCTGCAGCTATTCCCCAATGATGCATTGCTGCATTAGCCGCATTTTCGAAAAATGATAATCCAATTAGAGAGACCGTCGGTACGATGGTAAGAGGTGTTACATACCTCACCAGCACTCCGACAATGCCTGTTGCAATTAATAATAAGTTAATTTGTTAAAAGTTCCGGTACACATATTGCTATACAAGAATGCAATACTGTACTCTCCTGAATATAATACTATTTTTTTCCTCCAAAAACATCCAGAAAAGTGACTGAATATTTTAATTTTGCACATAATTGATTGATCATTCTAAAATATGTATATAATACGTATTATATAATAATACACACTAACTTTCTCGGAAGTTATTTGGCGGATAAAAGAGTAAACATTTTGTTTAAGAAAATGCATTGCTTCAGGAATACGATGACAGGGCTCTTGCAGTGCGTCAGAATTGTACCTCAAATTTCCTCAAGTAACACCTGTTCCAATAGAACCACTGCATACAATATTTACACAGTTCTTGGTTTAGTAAATATTAGTAAATATTATAAATGTGTAACAGCCGTTTGAGTGAAATTAGCTTACTTGAGGATTAATTAGCTATATTAGCGCAACAAATTCCTTGCTTTGACAAGCGGATGTGGCTTAAATCTTTTAACACATATGGTCTAAATATTTTATTTGAGACACTTCTTCATGGCATATGCAACAAAGTAAATAAGGATTTAAGACTTTGTAATGAAGTGGCTGCCCTGATTCACAGAAATGTTTTGTAAGTGTAATATGGGATAAGCCACTTTGAAGAAAATTGGTGAATGATGAGAATACAAATATTTTTGTTAATAATTAGATCAGGACAGAAAACATGACTAAGAATGGAGGATCATTTCACGTTGTTATGAACTATGCTAATTGCTATAACTTACCAAATACGCCAATAGCGACCTGTAGAATGGCCGCTACAGATATTGCTCCTGAAAGGACCCTCATTCGGCTCTGCCATAACTCAGTTCTGTTCTCAGGTGACATCTGCTCAATAACTTCTGCTGCTGGACATTGCAATTCTGGCAAGTTGAGCACGGCTAAGGTGGGAACTAGAAGTGATATGGTGCCCCCTTGCACTATTGGTAGCCTTTAACACGGTACAAATATTTCGTTTGCAGGGAAGAAATTAAAGTTATTTGGATTACATCTGATAAGAGTAAAAGTTAATTTAATTTGAAAGTTACTTATTTTGGGTAGCAGCTGGAGGTGAAACGTTACATATTTTTGTATTCATACATGTACAGACATTTTTAATGATATGACATGTGATGTGGAAAATTCAGGTGCTTAGGAACGGCTGTAAGAGAATTGCACTCATGAAGAAATTAATTGCGGATTAAATTTGGGGAGTATTTGCTATTCTACAGTACAGAAACCTATCTGGAAAGGTAAAGATACAAATATACAAGAAACTCCCCGTTATCCGGCATGTAAGAGGAGTGGAATTGGCAGGTTACATTAATTTGCAGGTTGAACGCGGAAACACTACGGAAACCCCAATACAAAGTCAAAAGAACATATTTTCACTTTAGTTGTTGCGTGAGAGTCTTCATAGCCCACATGGTGGATTTTCTTATGAAAGATTTCAAATACATATACTCTAACGCCCCTGGGGTCGACTCAGCCTCTAACAGAAATGAGTACCAGGAATATTCTTGGAATATTCTTGGGGGTAAAGGGCGGCCGGGGCGTAAGGCTGACAACCTTACCGCCATCTGTGAGCCGATTGTCTAGAAAATGTGGGAACCTGAACATCTCACAACCTTATGGGCCTCCACGGCTTGTTACAAGGATACATTTACTTTTTTTCTTACTTGTACTGTAACGCAATTGCAAATTCAGCTGGTAGCGCAGCGAGTGTTGGCTGGAAGAATGTAGCGTGGCGGGTGAACAGATGCTCTTTGCAGGTTTCTTTTTGAATAACTTTTTAACAACGGTATATTTTTTTCTGTGATTTTTTCCGAATAGATGAAAATTCTGAATGCTGTCACACTGGATAACCCGGTGTTTACCCTGTAATTTTGCCTTTTTGTTTTGTATTGGCGTGAAAGTTTTCTCTCAGTTTAAGGGAAGAACATAGACTGAAAGTGTTTGGGAACAGGATTCTGAGGGACATATTTGGACTTCCGAAGAAGTACATGATAGGTGGCAGGAGAAAATTATGCAGTGAGGAGTTTCATAATTTGTACTTCTCGCCATACATTATTATTATGATCAAATCAAGAAGGATGAGACAGACACTACATATAGCATGCATGAGATATAAGAAAAATGCTCACAAAGAATTGTTAAGAAAACCTGAAGAATAGAACCACTTGGAAGACCCAAGCATATTAAGGAAATAAAATAGAAGAATGTGGATTGGATTCATCTGGCAGAAGATAGGGACCAATGGCGTTCGCTTATGAATGTAATAATGAATCTTCCCATTCCCTTAAAATTCTGGAAATTTCTCGAGTAGCTGAGCAACTGTTAGCTTCCCGAAAAGAACTCCATCCCATACAGTTGGTTAGCTGTTTAACAGAGTATTACTTTACAAGACAGGCGAAATGAGCAAGTTATAAGAAATAAGAGTGGTTTATACATGACACGTATTAAAATCGTGACATAGCCAAATTACATTTAAAACAACCTGCTGTATAAAGTATTCGCTGTGGGTTTCACAGGGCGTAACTGAAAGTTGCATACAAGCTTTGGGAACAAGTTTCATACACCAAAGCAAGAAAAGTATCCATATCAACATGTTTCTGGAAACATTTAATTTGTGAGTTATAACTGAAGGAGTATATTTATGATAAGTGCTCGAAATGTACTCCATGAAACTCAATGCACGCCTCGACACGTCTCGTCATGGACCGCTGCATCAATTCAAAGCTGTCGAAGTAGTTGCAAATAGTCTGAGAGGCATCCACAATGCGATGGTGAAGTGCCTCTTAGTTGTCAACAGGAGCTGCATAAACAGGGGGTTTAGGTATCCCCATAAGTAAAAATCCAGAGGATTCAAATCTGGCGAACTTGGATTCCATGCGATGGGTCTTCCTCTGCCTAATCATCGGTCATGGAGAGTCTGAATGAGAACATTTCGTACAGCACAACACCATAATACATGTACTTGAATCCCGGTGTGGGCATGAATTTTCACTACTCCATGTCATCCAGACCAGCTCTGGGGCCCACCCAGCCTCCTATCCAATGGATTCCGCGGCTCTTTCCCCGGGGATAAAGCGGCCAGGCCGTGAAGCTGACCACTCACCTACAGCTAGTGCCGAAGTCAAGTGAATGTGGATCTATACATCAGCTTCCTCATACGCCTTCGTGGCGTAGTGCTTAATTACTGTAGTTAAGTACAAGGCCAACTTTACCTTACCTTACCACATTCGTGCTCTGACTGCCGGTGGTAATTCTTACAGTAGTTTTGCAGATCATCTAAGAGGCAGTCGCGATAGTGGTTGCCCGTAAGGTGACGTGACGTGACAAAACATGCGGGCATGCCAAACAATCGGTGACTAACCCTGTCCATATGTTAATGTTGAACTGCTTCTGGTATTTAGAATGGATTTCACCGTGAGGATTCTTCTCTGCCTACTGGTATCGGTTGTCATTATTGATGATGCCGCATCTACTCCGGCATCTTTGAAGGGATGCGCCGGTCCATGATAAGTGTCGAGACGTGCATTGAATTGCATGCCTTTTGGGCATTTATTATAAATTTACTCTTTCAGCTATAACTCACAGATTGTTTCCATGCTCACTTTGGTATAGACATTTGTGTGTGTGTGTGTGTGTGGAACTCGTGCCCTAAATTTGTCCTCACCTTTCATTTACACTTTGTATAATGAAACGTTTTGAACGGCTCAGTTTATATAGCGTAAAAGATGCAAGGGAATTGTGAAACGGAAGGGATGTTGAAGGAAACAGTGGTGACTATTGGGAAGTATCATACAGGAATTTATGTGAAGGGTCTGAGGAGACAAAGAAATGCTACAGCCATGATAACTGTACAAGATTTGAATTCACGACCTTCTAAATATTCACGAAGAATGCCAACCACTTGACCATAACGTTCGGTACACTGTATAAATAAACTATACACAACAACCGTGTGTTCAACCTGTTTAAAAAAATCCATAATTATTGATTCACACGCTCGCGCTTCTATGTTCTTGCATGTTATTGAGGAAAGCCGTCAGAATGGTTTAGGAAAAAAATCGTACATGTAAAATATCTTAAAGGTGTGCTGCAATGAAATATATACCATTTCTAAACCTATGTTTTGCTGTTCACCGTAATTGTAATTTGTTGCATGAGAAAATGCTGTTATGTCAGTCGTACTGTAGGTATCATAATGCAGTGGGTCAAAAATATTTTTCCCTGTGTTTTGTTAAATATTCACGATACAGATGGCGCAGTCGGGATAGCGACTTGTTGCGGGCTGGACGACAGGAGGGTCGGAGTTTCAGCCCCAGTAAGGTCAAGAATTTTCATTTCTCCACGTACCCCAAACCGTCTCTGGGGCGCACCCAACCTTCTGTTTAACTGGTACCGAGTGCCTTTTCCCCAGGGGTAAAGCGGCCGGGACGTGGAGCTGACCATTCACCTTTAACTAGTGCCAAGGTTAAGGCTGGGGCCACACGAGCGCACAAAATGCGTCCGTTTTAACGAACGTCGTGGCGTCCGTTGTAGAAATAAACAAGAGAGGCGAATACTACGCTTTCTTCTGGCTCCATTGCAGACAGAAAACTACGCCCCGCATTCTGCAACTGTGTGTTGTCCTCAGCAACGTCCGTCATAAAGTACTTTCGTTACAACGGACGCATTTTGTGCGCTCGTGTGTCCCCAGCCTAAGAAAATGTGAATCTTTACATCCAGTCCCCCATACGTTTTCATGGCGGTGTATTTAATTAGTTAAGCACAGAGACAACTTTACCTTTTTACAATCACTTATAAATTAGAGTTATAGACATTAGCTTGTGCCAAATTTGTATGCGATGAACCGTTCTTATGATAAATGATAAAGTTAGATTTGGTCTTCACTTAAAGTAGGACTTATATTCGTAAGGTAGTTAGTTAGTTATTGGAGAGGGTGGGTTTCCCCCCTTCACTTAGACCAGTATTGGTCCATTGTGTTTCCCTCTATGATATTCTACCAGTCTCTATACCCTACCGATAATGGTGCGTACCATCAGTCCTGCCGAGCAAGCGAGTTCTGCCTCCACTAGCTTGGCGGTGTCTATAATGCTTCCCCAATCTATCAGAGGCCTTAGAGACTACTGTTGGGCGGGAAACGTCCTTGAATTTGGCTCAGTGACCTCCTTTGGAGATATGAGGTTCTTTTACGTGCCGTAAAGCTACGACACGGGACACACGGCTTAAAGTCCCTCCCGGAGGACTTGTTCCCTGAATTTTTCCGCCCTTAAAAATTCGACGACCTCCGCCGGGTATTTGAACCCGCGTACCACGAGTCATGAGGTGGGAACGTTGCCTCTAGACTACGGAGGCCGCTTATACGTAAAGTAACTGACTGCTTTCGTAGAGCAGAATTTTTCTTGAGAAGCTAAGGCAGTCAAGAAAAATATTGCCTTCTATGGAATTTGAAGGTTCATTAGCAACTTAACAAGTGTTAGCCATTCAACCAGACAAACCCAGTCCACGTCCCCCCACCCTATTTCTTTATGATCCACTTTAATATTACCCTCCCATGTACGTCTACGGCTTCTACGTAGCCTCTTCCTTTCAGGTTATCTGTCGAAAATTTTGTGTTCGCCATGTCTGTCACTCGTGGTGCACATTCCATTCGTGTAAGCTGCCTTCGAAGACTGAAGAAGAATTGAATTCTAATGACAGACATAATCTTCCTATTAGTCCTTAATGTTGTTATGTACTTGTATGAGTATTTTGAAGTAACTACTTTTCGCGAGACTTTTATCGATCCCTGCCTGGGAGTATTTATTATTTTTACTTTTTAGTTTGTAGAGTCAGACGTACCTGCAGCCGAAGGTGGACTGCACCCAAGTCACAATGCCAGTTACAAAGATCATGGTGCATATGATATGGCTTCGAGCAGGGTCGTCATAATGCATGCAGAGCGCAGGCGTCAGGATGAATGGTATAGTCATGATGGAACCTATCATCGTGAAGTAATTCTGAAATGGTAAGTCACACGTTCAAATATTTATGTCGTACAGATTTAGTGAACTAAGAATTATTTATAAACAGCATTATTATAATTGAATAATTCGGAATTGATGATCCAGAAGACCTTTATTAAACTTCAGGCTTGCAGTGGAATTGAAACTATTCATGTTTACTTACAAGGCTATTGCTTTTTACACTTGAATTTGAATATAAATGTTTTGTTTTCCCTCACATAATTATTCATATTTATTCTACAATGGTCTACTTTCATCGTTAGCTTAAAATAATCAAACCTCATGTCTGGAATTATTGTATTAGAGTTATTATATGGCTTATCTTATATCTTTACGACGGGACGGATGGATGGGCAACTGTAATTTTTATAGTGCAAGAGGTTCGATGAAAAAGTACCCAGGACCGGAAGGAAGCGTAAAATTATGATGTTAAAATCCAGCTGCCCAGTTACCAACGATTCCTTACTCCATTCATCTCGTGAAGAACTGTCATTTTTTCTCAGTTGTGAGAGAGCTGCAATTTTGTACAGTGTCTTTTGAACTAACCATATTTTGAAATTTCTTATTGGAAGAAGCGAAATGTGTCCTTTAAATTTTGTATGGCCAAGGAAACGTGTATATATATATATATACTAACAACTGTATTTTAGAATAATATTTCACCTATTTTTTTTTACCCCTTTTGAAGATGGCTGAACTTCCTTGAAAGATGACGCACTTGCGCCTATCATCCAGCGATATTGGACACCCAGGAATCTGTGACCTCCTTTCGTAAGAAAATTCCTTGTGGCAGGCGAACGAAAATTTGTGGCAGAAGTTGCTGTTTCTTAAGCAGTTACCAGATAAAATTCGTAGCTGAATGGACGACAGCTCCCTGTCATTCAGAACTTTGGATAACTGAATTCACAAGGTTTCATTAGTTTCCCAGAATATTCGTCTGATTTGGCATTCTTGACATTTACGTGTATACGAGTATATTCCCCCAAACTGCAAACGGTCCTAAATAGAAATATATCGCTGGAGGCTACAACAAACATTAGGGGTGCTGGGGCCGAATATCCCTCGAAAACATAGTACCAGAAGTGCATCACTAAGTGGCAAGGTAAGCGGAGTGGCAATACGCAATGAACTGGAGACTTCTTTGAAGAAAAAAAAAACTAAATGGTTTTGACCTTTAGTTTCATCCCGAATAGTGGGTTATGGACACTTTTGTTCATATTTTGTGCGTCCGTATTACCTGGAGTCCCATTAAGATGCAAAGGTACCAAGATGGAACATCATCAATGCCATATTTGACGTCTGATTCCTCCTGTTGTTTTTCCTCCTTAATTTTAAAGGTACTGACATTTCCATTCTCTACGTTGTTTTCATCCAGCCCCGGTCCCTGAAACATTATTGTAGCATAAGCACTTAAAGATAACCCGACAGAAATATGAAGAGAGACACCTATCGGTCTAGATTACCTTGTGTGGAGTTACTGGAGTCGGTATTTATACCCAGCATTTTGTTTTGGAAATTTATTTAAAAATTAGCGAACAAAAATTATACTCTAATAAAGTAAGATTTATAATATGCAATGTAAGGCTTCAGGGTTGTAGTGCCATGCAGTACTAGAAGGCGCTTCGAATATTTCGGAGGAATCCTACTGTCTCCACATTGGCGGTTTGATATACAAAAAAGAGAAAGGTTCATATAGGACATATGCATTCGTAAGCTGCAAAGGAAAGTGGAATCTGTTTTACATAGTTAAATTCTTTGTACTGTAATAACTGACCTGATACATGGATAACAAATTAGGCTTTCATAATGAGTTTGTTATTTATCTTCTTCATTTTATCGTTCTCTCACCGTTACATACCGCTATCATTTTCATCATTCACTACGAAGCACTATGCTCAGTGGTATTCATTCATTCATTCATTCATTTCCTTTATTTTCCATATATCCATACAGGTAACAAACCTAGGATGTGGAAATGGTCCCTTTGAAAATAGATGTCTCAAAATACATAGACAAAATTACACTAGTCACATAATCAAAATGACTTACATTAATTGATTAACATAAATAAGGATATAGAGTAAAAATTTTAATAAGATTTGAATTAATAGACTTAATTTAGAATGAAATTACTATAAAACTTGAATTAATACAATTTAATTTAAATTACCTATATTAACTGAATTAAATACATTACAAATTTACACACTTATGGCCAATTATGTTGATAATATTGATTCATAGAATAAAAAGAATGATGATATAAAAACTTCTTCAATGCATATTTAAAACTTCTCACATCAGTAGCCAACATTTTTATTGTTTGAGGAAGATGATTAAAAACTTTAATACCTGATATGTATGCTCTTTTATTGTATTTTGTTAAGTTAACTGCAAGTAAATATAAATTATTGAGGGCTCTAATTTTGTATTTGTGAATCTCATTGTTAAAATTAAATACAAGTTTTTTATTAATTGTGCATAAACGTAATGAAAATATGAACTGAGAATAGAACGTCATTATTTCCAAATATTTAAAAATGTTCCTACAAGACTCGCTTGGTCTAGAATTCGGTAAAATTGTAATAGCTTTCTNTATAAAGTAAAAATGAATAAAAGTAAACCTATCCCTGTAGCAGGCCGTGAAGGCCCATACGGTTGTGAGACGTTGAGGGTCCCACATTATCTATTATCTATCTAATACTATTGTATTATTGGTTATTAACATATGCCTGCAACTCACGTTTGTTTAAATAGGCGTCTTAATTTACTTAATTTTCAGCATCATTATAACAAGTAGCGCCATGGTCTTAATGGGATATCATAGTCCAATGGTCCGGTAGATCCCTTACGTTGTTAACGTCATAGGTCTAATAATTACGTCACTAACAAATACATTAACTATCGTAATCATCGTCATCATCATCACCATCATCAGTAATCATAATGAAAACGCAAGTGGTAAATTACATGAACCATATATTTCTCTCATTAGGATCAGCAGCTAAATAACAATTCCTGATAAAGCGAATAGACTTACTTAGCGAAAAGGGAAAAATTCAATTTCTCCTTCTACGCAATATTATTGAACATTAATGTCAATGGGATATGACGATTCGCATTTTGGAAAGTACGTCTAACAGCAAGGGGACCCGGAATGCCGTAGTAGGTATAGCGACTGGCTACGGGCTGGACGGCCGAGGGGGTGGAGTTCGAGTCCCGATAGGGTCAAGAAATTTTTCTTCTCCAAGTAGTCCAGACCAGCTCTGGGGTTCACCCAACCTATCCAATGAGTTCCGCGGGCTCTTTTCTCGGGGGTAAAGCGGCCGGGGCGTGAAGCTGACCACTCACCTCCAGCTAGTGCCGAGGTCAAGAAAATATGGACCCATACATCCACTCCCCCACACGCCTTCATGGCGTAGTGCTTAATTGGCTAAGCACAGGGAAACATTTTACCTTACATGTAACAGCAGGCTGGGAGAATGATAGATATTAAGGTATATTTGGGAAGTAGACTGTGAGAATGTGCACTGAATGGAGCTGTCTTAGTATTATGTCTAATAGCTGATATTAGCAGTTTAAGAATATTTCCTTCTGTTACAAGATAGTTAACTAGACCGATGAAAGAAAAATAATATAGGAACGAATAGAATTATCCTTGTTATAAGTTACCATTCTTGTAATTTACATCGGGAAGTTTTTGTACAGACAGACGGTATAAAAAAGGAATGAAAAAGATTTGTAAATGTAATTTTTATGGAATTATTTTGTGTCTGGACATTATCCATTGCTCTAATTTTCTTTAAAACACACAAATTTGGATACTGGGTTCTGTCGTCAGTTAAAAACCTACTCAGTAGCACCAAATCGATAGAGCTAGTCCCTATCTCGAATCTTGTGTTAATGCTCGTGTCCGGAGATAGGAACAAGCTCTGTCGATTTTGCCTAACTGAGGAGGTATAACCAGTGTTACGTGGGTCCCTTGTCACCGCAGCATGGCGCGTCCTCAGGTTGCAGATGGAGGAGACGGCCTCCAGCTATGGAGGGTAGCTACGAATATGTTGAATAAGCAATCGCGTACAGCCAACAAGGGGTGGTCCTCAAGTTGGGGGGTTGGTGAGGGGCTAACAACTCCTCACCACAAAAAAAATAAGCTTGTTACAAAAATTCTAAAGAAGCCTCGGGCCTGGATGGATTCTTTTGATAAACGACCTAAGTGAAAGAAACTGGATATGAGATTTGGTACTTGGAATGTTAGAAGCACGTGTAGAGCAGATTCGCTCAGGGCAGTGGCGGAAGAAATGTCAAAATATAAGTTGGACTTAGTCCGAGTACAGGAGGTCAGATGGGAAGGAGGTGGCGACGAACCATCAGGCGAATATACATATTATATGGAAAGGGGAATGAGAATCATGAATTAGGTACAGTTTTTCGTACATAAGAGAATCATATCAGCAGTTAGGAGGGTAAAGTTTGTTAGTGATGGGATGTCATGCGTAATACTAAGAGGCACTATTGTGATATTATAGTTCTGAATGTTCATGCTCCAACAGAGAATAAAATTGATGACATGAAGAACAGGTTCTATGAAGAACTATAACATGTATTTGATAAATTCTCGAAGTACCCTATGAAAATTTTTCTAGGAGACTTCAATACCAAAGTAGGTAGGGAAGACATTTTCAAACTAACAGCTGGGAATGAAAGTTTGCATGAAATTAGTAATGATAATGGAGTTAGAGTAGTAAACTTTGCCACATCCAAAAATCATACTATCAAAAGTAAAATGTTCTCACATCTTAGCATTCATAAATTTACTTTGACTTCTCCTGATGGAAAGACGCACAACCAAATTTACCATATTTTGATAGACAGGAGACGGCATTCAAGTATACGTGATGTCCGATCATTCAGGGCAGCAGATTGTGATACTGACCACTACCTGGTGGTGGCAAAGGTTAGGGAAAGACTGGCAGTGAGCAAACAAACAACGCACAGAGTTCATATGGAGAGGTTCAATCTCAAGAAATTAAACGAAGTAGACGGTAAGGAGCAGTATCGTGTTGAAATCTCAAATAGGTTCGCAGCTTTTGAAAATTTAGGCACTGATGTGGATGTTAATAAAACTTGGGAAACTATTAGAGCGAATAACAAAATGTTTGCCAAAAATAGCTGAGGTTGTTATGAACTGAAGAAGCATAAGCAATGGTTCGATCAAAGATGCTCAGAATTAACAGACGAAATGAAACAAACGAAATTGCAGTGGTTACAGGATCCAAGCGAGTTAAATGGGGATAATCTAAAAATATAAGACGGGAAACCAGCATGTACTTCAGGAAAAAGGATATATCTGAAAGACAAAACTGATGAGCTTGCAATGAACAGTAAGAACAAGAACATTAGGAACCTGTATAGAGGAATAAATCACTTTGAAAGGTGCTACCAACCTAGAAGTAACTTAGTGAAGGATGAGAAATGTGATCTGTATGCAGATTCCCACAACGTTTGGAGAGGGCATGTAGTCCGAATGTGGGCTAAGAGGATTGCATATAGGATATTGGTGGGAAAGCCAGAAGTAAAAGAACAACTAGGAAGACCGAGATGTAAGTCGGTGGACAATATTAAAATGGATCTTAGAGAGATAGGATGGGATGGTATAGATTAGATTGAGCTGGCTCAGAATAGGGACTAGTGGAGAGCTCTTGTGAACACGGTAGTGAGCCTTCGCGTTCCAGAAAATGCTGGGAAATTCTTGAGTAGCTGCACAGTTAGTGGCTTATCAAGAAAGGCTCACCTCCGTATGTGACTGATTAGTGAGTTAGGAGGTTCCACCTGAAGCCGGCGACAAATCCAGTGTCAGAAACGTTGTGTTTTAAATAAAAACAGGACGATGGACAATGTCCAGCAACATAATTGTATTAATATACCATCGTCACAACTTTTAGATCTTATGAACTAAATGAAATAGGAAAAAGCGAACAGTATATGGTTACCATTTCAGATGTGTTCGCAGCATTGGAAAACCTAAGTGATGTAGATGGGAGTCGAGCTTAGGGACTATCAAAAGAGAAGGAAGGGAAAGAAGTTCTCTTTGGTTTGAAAGCCAAAAGAAAAGAGATAGCTAGGACGACGTAGGCCTAATTGGGAGGATATTAAAATGTATTACAACGCTCGCAGGCAAAAAGGAAGGACACATCACAAGACACAGTACACAAAAAATATAGGAAAAACGTCTCCCATATTGGAAGAATCATACAATGCGCGAGTTTGAATTAAGACACACAGGATGAATAAGCTTAACAAGTCAAATTTTATTATAGTTGATGAAGAATGTACAATTTAACAATTTTATGAAAGACACATGATGGCAAGCAATGCAGTAGCTTAGCGTAAATAAAGTACCTGAGGATGGCACTGTGATGCCGAAACATTTAGTGAAGTGACATGTGAGACTGAGTGCACTACAAGACGGCCATTACATACATATCATGGATGAGAATCAGTGCAGCAGAACGCTAAAATACAACATTAAAATTGATGTTGGAGAGACATGATGAGGTGTTATGGACTGGATTGGTCTGACTCAGGACAGGGAACAGTGGTGGGTGTTTGTGAACATGGTAATGAATCTTTGTGTTCCGTGAAATATTGTGATATTCTTCGGTAACTAAGTAATTTATGTCTTCCCTAGAAGGACTCAAACTGCATGGAGTCAGTTAAGTTAGTTTAATATTAATAAATACCGTAAGGACGAGGTCGTTTCTGCTGCTTGTGATGCCAGGATCCATGACGCCCCACTGAAGGACCGGTACGCTTTCAGGAGCAAGTGGATACTAAATGCAGTGTTGTAGCCTGTAGGTAAGTGATAGGTCGCAGACTCTCTGTCGCAACCATTTCACGACTTGCTGTATTTATTTAATGTGATAATTTGGATGACTTCATCATGAGGTACTCTCAATTAATATCAATGTTGTCACATAAACAACAGATCTGTACATAACAACTCTACCAGGTCCATGCCTATCTCTATCGTTAAGTTTAATTGATGCTGCTTCCTGCCTATAGACATAAAAAGTCCACAAAACCACAAATTTTGGTCTATCTACCATTTTATATTGGTGTGAATGTTTGACTCCTCACACTTTGGAAGCCTCTGCCCAAAGGCAATGACTTAAGGTCGTAGGCAGAGTGTATATGAGGATGTTTGCACCAAAGAGGGAGCATATAACACGAGAATAGAGAAAACTATCTAACGAGTCTTATTTGTAAACATGAAAAATCCGTAAGTATGTAACTCCTTTCATTAAGTCCGTAAAAAATGTTAACATGTTGTGTTACAAAGATGGCGTCACGCGGGTATGACATGATTCCTTATTGTTGGTATGTACTAACAAGTTCTAATCATATTAGCAGGACGGTTGAAGCATGTGGTGATCTGAAAATTATAGTTTTATGTAACTGAATGCTCTAGTTGTGCTAAATAAGTGACTCAAATGTTTGACAGTTTGGAAGCATGCATGCAGCCCGTCAGAGACTTCTGGTCTAGCGGTTTTTTTTCTTCGGTTTATTTGCAAAGCTTATATCTCCACTTCTGACCTAAGAACAGCGGTTGAAACTAGTTAAGATGAAATGCTGAAGAAAATACTCTGGCATAAGGGAGAAGAAATATTAAGCGGAATGGAGGTGAAAGTACACAAAAAAGAAATCATTGTTGCTAGTCTTAATTTATTACGCCCAATTTAGAGCAGTATTAAACGCAAGCATGCGCGCGCACATACACATGTAAAGTTAGAGCCGTAGAATTGAAGGGGGTTATGCAGGTTATGTAGCTGCCGGTCACGGTAGCCGAGCAGTCTAAGACATGTACAGTCTTCGCTCGGAAGCCGGGATCGTGAGTTTGAATCCCACACCAGTCATCGATGTTTGGTATGTGTATGAAATTATTCTGTGTTTGTGTTGTCCTGTGTTTAGGTAGAGGCCTTGCGACGAGCTGATCACCTGTCCAAGGAGTCCTACAGTCTGTAAAAAATGATCAATTGAACAGAGAAATCAGCCCTGTGCTCCAAAGTGAGAGCGAGAGGAAAACCAAAGTTATGTAGCACGACTGAAGGAAGAATTAATGGCAACTGAATTTTATTTGGAAAACGGGAGACAGAAATTCAAAAGGAAGATATGAAGCACGTATTAAATTGATTTTAAGGAAACATATTGTGAGGATATGAACTGAATTGAATTGGTTCGAGCAACAATATCGGGCTGCCGTGGGACCTTCCTATTCCAGTAGAAGTTGCTTCTTGAAGGGTTGGATGCATACTGCTCGGGGGACATGAGCTGAATATAATTGAAGATATGCGCATATTTTAATTAGTTGCGTCTGTATATAGATGAAATCTTTTTTTTTTGTTTTGTTATTTTATTTCTTCCAGTAATCGGTCAAGAAAGTGAGTGTATAGCGGTCTGCTTTAGATAACTGTTTAAATTTGTTACCGTTCTAATTTGTAATCAGACATGTAAGCTTGAATTGTAAATATTGTTCTTCGGTATTTGTGTCACTGAGCATGGTAGCTCAGTCAGTACAGTGATAAAGCCATGGGCTGGTTTGATTTCCGACAAAGACAAATATTTTTGTGTTCGCAATCTCCCACCCAGCCTCATGTCCAGCGAACACCGGAGGCTTTGCTCCTTGGGATAAAGAAGGGGTAACGGTGATAAGTTGGTGACTCTTTTCAATTTTGTGCCGAGGCTAAGAATATATGGAGTTATTCCTCCACTCCCACATACGTGTTCATATCGTTGTGTGTAACTAAGCAGCACAAGATCAATTTTCCTTTCCTTCAGATCACAGTACGTCGATATGTTCTTAACAAACCAGCGGTAGTGGGTTTGTTATGAACGATGATCTCTGATGCAATGCAAATGAAAAACCTGCTGAAACCATACAGAGAATTGCGGTTTTTAATTCAGAAAGCAGAAAACTTGTAACGCTAAATTCAAATTCATTCTATTTCAGACACTGAATTAAGCTACGATTTTATTCCTATAACATCTTAAATGTTTAAAATGTCCTTTTAAACAGAATTGTCACTAAAGCTTATTGCAACAAATAGGGCCGTTTCTGTAGACGTGAACAGTTAGTCCCACGACATGTAATGACAAGAATAATTTCATATCATTAAATTCTTCTTCCTATAGGATTTGTGGTCCTCACAGCGGTTGATATGAAAAGTAGTGCGTTGAAAGTTGACCCAATGTTTTGGAGAAATATATCGTCTCCGAAACGTCGGTCGACTTTCAACGGACTATACGGAGTTATATCCCAGATTATAGAACATTTCTTCTTCCTATTTGAGGTATTAGGCTCGGTGGCGTGTTTCTATTGATAAATAATTCTGAAATTTGAATCTCATAGACAGTTCATAGGATTCCTTGGACGGGAGATCACCCCATCGCAAGGCCTCTACATACACGGGACAACACAAATGGAAAAAACGCAGAGAAGCATCCATGCCTTGAGTTGGATTGAAACCCATGATCCAGTGTTTGAGCGGGCAAAGACACGTTTAAAAGCCTTCGCCATAAAATGTTCTGTAAAATGAAATATCTACAACGTCTTGGAATCTGAGGATTCTTTGCAGTGGTTCAGGAGCATGTGGAAGGTGATTGGCAACATCACACATTCTTCTCTGGCAAAAGAAGACATATGGAAAACTCTGATATAACGTATCACAGAAAATTGAAATCGTTAAGGCCTTTCTCGCTTTATTTATGTTCTTTTATTTTCAGATTTGCTCCTTTCTTTCTTTGTGTGTTGGCGACACAAATAAGTAGGGGATAAATTTGCATCTACAATGTACAATATTATATAATGAGCCATCTTCTTCTATATCTTCTGCACTTTCATTTATGTCCTTTCTTGGCACCACATTTTTTCAGATTTCTTGGTTTGTATGTAGGCATGAAAGGTAGGTAGGAGAAAAAATTGCATCTGCAACAAGAAAATCAAACAGTGAACTGCAAACATTTATCTATATCTATAAAGAATTATTATCATTACGAACACAATGTAGGCTTTTTCTGATAATCCTTGTCCTGCTTGGCCATCCTCTTTCTCATTATCTATTCATTCTTGAGAATACATTTGTTCAGTTATTCCGGAATCAGGCATGTTTTAAAAATGGCTTTTCTCTCTATTTATGTCATTCATTTGTGTGATTTCAGTTCTTAAGTTTGGATCTCGTCCCACAAGTAAAAAAAGTAAAGGTATCCCTGTAACAGGCCGTTGAGGCCCATAGGATTGTGAGAAATTGAGGTTCACACATTTTCTAGACAATCGGCTCACAGATGGTAGCAACGTTGTCAGACTTACGCGCCGGTCTCTCTTTACCCCCAAGAATATTCCAACAATATTCCTGATAGTTATTTCTGTTAGAGGCTGAGTCGACCCCAGGGCCATAGTGCCGCTGGAAGGATTAGGTAAATTAAAAAAAATTCAGTGACATCATCGGAACTTGAACCCTCGATCTTCCGGCTTGTAGCATAGTGCCTCAACCAACTACACTACTGCATGCCCCTCTCTTCCCGAAAGTCCCAGAAAATCCCCCGGACAAGACTTAAAGGATGAAATGGTAAAATGGGGATCTTGCTAGCCCTTGAGAGAGCTGCTATGCTTGTAGCTTCTATATTGTAATATTGCACGGATTTTTCAGTCGGGTTTATAGTCGTCGTGCTGATAACAGTATATTGATGGTATTATATAACATTTTCAGATTCGAAACTTTGTATCTGCGCTCCATTTCCAAATACGTTGTGTGTTGTAACTGAGAAAGTGTCTGATTCCTGTGTTCGTCGCTTATATCTTTACCTTCTGACCAATCCCATCCCCACAGGGAAGTCGTATGTGCTGGTTGTATCACCTTCTTCAGCTTCTAACTTCATCTGTTGGTGCCAAGCGGTAAGGCCACGTTCTTCAGCTGTACCTAATCAGACAAGCCAATATACAGTGTAAAACACGAAAGACATCTGACAAAACTGCAGTACATGTGAATGTACTGATATTTCAAGTAGATGCCTACGTTTGCGTTTAGTACAATGAGCTGAGTGCACTCAGGCTACAACGAATAGGATGTGAAATTCAATTCGATTCAATTATTTATTATCTATGTGCTGAGCCAACAGCCGCGAGGCCAATTACAGACGCAGCACAGTACAGATAGAAGTAGTTACATACTCGACAAACACAACATTAAGTCAAAGAATAATTAAAGGTTATATTGAAGGAAAACAAAGTAATGCATATGATAAGAGAAATATGTGTATGTGTGTAATAGAAGTTCTAAAGGAAAAAACTCGGCCAAAATGAAGTCCGACATATTTAATATCCTATCATAAATTTTGTCTAAATATGTCAGGTGGTTTTGCAGATGAACTGTATAGCCAAATTTATAAAATCTCTCCATAAACATTATCTTCTTCAACACAGGCTAATTATATCATGCTTTTACGAAATATTTTGTCCTACGCTTTTTGCATGATACATGCTCTTGAAGTCTGTTAAGATAAGAAGGTAAAGCTATCCTTGTACAAGGCCATGAAGGCCCAGAATGTGTTGAAAGATCAAGGCTCCCACATTTTCTCTAGACAGTCGGCTCACAGATGGCGGTAAGGTTGTCAGCCTTACGCTCCGGCCACCCTTTATCGCTCAGGAAGATTCCTGGTACTCATTTCTGTTAGGTGCTGAGTCGACTCGAGGGCCATAATGCGGCTGGAGGGTTTACGTGAATTGAAAAAGTTCACCTCATCGGGACTCGGACCCGCGACTTTCCGGCTTGTAGCATCATGCCTTAACCAACTATACTACCGCGTGCCCCCCCTGAAGATTGTTATATCTGTTAAGTGTGCATGAGAAAACTAACGGAAAAATGATGCAGTACTGCATTACAAGCAAATGGAAAATTAATTATTCTTATCAATAACAATTCTTTTCCGGATATACTGTACGAGTAGGCTCAAAAACAAAGGTGGAAAACGAGCACTCGACAATGTCGTCCACAAAATTCCCAATAGCGTTGTTGACAATTTAAAAACCTTCTTTTGCCGGTAGATTTTCAACAAAATGTAAACTTTATTAGACAAAATGTGTAAAACTGACATTTCAGCGGTATAGTAATGAGCAATACTGAACTACAACGAAGCCTACGGAACTGTTTATAGGATATGTGAAGAAGTCCTCTTATTGCCTTACGTAAATTCTGATTCGTAATCGGTCAACAGGACTAAAAATCAAAATAATCCATCAGCGTTACGCGAAGACCTCTCACGACGAATTTCACCAAAAATCTTAGTAACGATTTATCATATAAACAGAAAAGTTCGTATATTAACTCATGTAAAGCAGGTTCATTAATTGATCAATATTACTAGGAATCAAAATATATAACTGGTTCCACGCATTTATTTCTTACTTTGAATTTCACTGATATCTGATTAATGGTTATGAGTGACCGCCTCCGTGGTCTAGAGTTCCTGCATACAGATCCAGAGGTTCCGGGTTTGATTCCCGACGCTACCAGATTTTCTGAGAAATACAGAGTCTGGAACGGAGTCCACTCAGCCTCGTAAGGATAACTGAGGTGCTATTTCAAGGAAATAACGGCTCCGGTCTAGAAAGCCGAGATTGACGGCCGTGGGGATCCGTTGCGCTGACCACGTGACACTCTCTATCCGCAAAAGTTGTCACTAACTTCGCCGACAAGCGGCGGTCGCCCGGTCGGTATATTTCGCTTGCGGACTAGAGGCTACAAAGTTTGTTGTTTGATATACATCAACTTTTAATCTATTTTCTTCATAAAGTATTCTTTTTATATCAATATGGCTGAAGTCTTAATTGCTCCACAATGTGTAATAAAAGCCTCCAATATGGAATTAAAAAATGACAGGTGCCTTAGGCGCTGATATTTTGTCATTGAGGGACTGACAGATGAACAGGCGTGACCTTCACGCAAGGCGTTCATTTTTATAATATTTACAGTTAATGTCGAACATTTTGTAGTTATGACAGGCAACAGCGAGGACTAGCTCTGAATACCGAAGCCGTGGTATGAATTACTTTTTACTGAAAAAAGAAATAAATATTATGTCTTAAATCTTCAGGAGCAGCAGTAAGTTCCAGGTATTTCTAGGAAACACTAGCTTTATATTGTGCTTAGGTATTTTTAGGCTTTACTACTAGCCTATAACTTGTAATAACAAAGTTCGAGCGTTTGTTATAAAATATCCATACTTCTTATTAAGAAGTGTAGCCAACATATAAATTGTATATCCAGTTGAAATTAATCCAAAAATCTAGTTTCGAAGTATAATACCGTATACTTTATTTATTACAGAATTTTCTCATTGCTTAGTTTAAGTTCAGTAGAAATAATTATTCGTGCGCTTTTCTTGTACAATTTCAGCATCTTTAATTAATTTTTTATAACAATTAAAAATCCAGCAAGATATTTATAGATAGTTACATGACATTCTGCAGGTTTATTGAAATCGGAAAGTTTGACAGCTTACCTGGTATGAGATTGTCACACAAGCAACCAAGTATCCCCCCTACCAGGATACTTGTGCTGAGTAGGACAGTGATAATGCTGTCAGCAGTTTCATTACCAGTCTGAATTACATGTGGGTGAGACACCATCCATTTAGGAAGAACCTTCGCAAAAATGATAGTGGAATTATTTTACATACATTACATCACATTACATTACTTGTATCCAAAGTTAGTAAAAAATGACCATAAGATGTGGAATAAGTCATAAAAACGCAAAAACTTACATGTACAGAACAACTGAGGTTACACATACAAGCAACAAACAAACTCCGTGGTTTTAGTCCGCAAGTGAACTATACCGACCGAGCGACCGTCGCTTGTCGGCGAAGTTAGTGCCTACTTTAGCGGATAGAGGGTGTCACATGGTCAGCGCAACGGATCCCCATGGATTCTAGACCGGAGCCGCTATTTCCTTGAAATAGTTCCTCAATTATTTTCACGAGGCTGAGTGGACCCCGTTCCAGGCCCACAACTTCTCAGAAAATCTTGTAGCGCCGGGAATCGAACCCAGGACCTTTGGCTCTGTAGCCAGGAAGTCTTACCACTAGACCACAGAGGCGATCTAAGGTTACACATAAGGTATCCAAAAATACATCCACACATACAAGTATGTATCATTATTGTCGACGTGTGCTAGTTACACAAACCTTTAAAAGGGTGAATCATTTTTAGACAGCAGGAATTTATCAACGGGTTGAATTAATATAAATTTAAATACCGTTTCAGTGTCACTTTAAATTGTGCTTTTCCTTCTAAGACTTTGGCGACTACAGTTATATTTCTGGACATTATCTCTAGTCCTTTTTTTTTTGTTTAAAACACAATGTTTTGGAAACTGGATTCTGTCTCCGTCTTCAGGTAAAACCTACTCAGTTGGGCCCAATCGATGGAGCTAATCCCTATCTCTGGACACCAGCACCAACACATGATATGAGATACGAGTACTACACCGTGTATCAGAATTCCACGCATATTGTTCTGAATGGCCCTATGCAGTTATTTTAGTGTTTCGCAATGCAGCACTGTCGTTATCGGTGTCTCTTGTTTCATAAATTCCACCATTAGAACTCCTTTCTGCCCCCCCTCCAAAAATAGTTGCCATCAGCTTTCTGGCAAGCAGACAATGTTTATTTAATCTTGTTCAGCTTGTCTGGCGAATGTATGTGCAACTATTTCTTAGACTCCTCTTTGGTTTCAATGTTCGCAAATGAAACCCAGGTTTCACCACCTGTTGCTCATATCTTATGACTGAGAATTTCGTCGCTGTCCTTGTGGTATTTCTCTGAAAAGCCAAAACCGAAGCCATTCTCTGCGTTATACGCACACGCGTAAGCATTTCCGGAACCCATGTTGCGCAAACTTGTCACAGCCTAGCCTAACTACTATAATCTCATAGAGTGCGTGAAATTTACGAAAATTCACATGAAAATTCTGAAATTGTGTAGCGCCTTCTTTCATAAACTTTTTGGTCAACTCTTTGAGAAAGATCATCACTCGCTACAGATGGCTGACCGCTTGACTCTTCATCGTGAACATCTATTCGCCCATCTTTGAACATTGTACACATTGCCTGACAGTTCCTTTACTCATTATATTTTGGCCGAAAACTGCGCATGATTCACGATAGATTTGCGCAGCAAACATGTTTTAGCACAAGGAAAGCATATAACAACGCTAATTTCGCAACTGGCGATTGTTTGTCGCAGGACACATCATAAGTTACTCTGTAGAGACAGGAAGAAACGCTAGGTGACCAATAATATGATAGTTTACAAGGCAGTGAGTCATGTGGCGGTACCTCGCATGCGCGAGCTTTCGCTCACTCCTACATTAGTTGTCTAAAATAAACGAATTCTGCTTTCCGAATAACACTCATATCATATTCCTACCTGCACTTAGATCTCCCAAATGATCTGCCCCTCAACGTATACTGTGAAAATATAATTGCTGTGGCCCGTGTAAAATGAGGGGTTAAATTTCACCCTCTAATTATATTATGTTGAATAATATAGTAAGGTTAAACCGAAGTTCATCCTGTATATTCATATACAAAATAGGTGAGTGGCTTACCAGAGAGAAGAAAATGGAGAATCCAATAATATAGAGATTGCGTGCCGAGTTTAGGTCCACATACTGCAGAGCTGACAGTCCTGTAAAACAGACCAAATTTTTTAGTTTAATCATCCCCCAAAATTTTGGAAACAGGTCTTTTACATAGTGCTCCATAACCGATTTTCCTAGTGTAGTGAGGTTTTCTTGACATTTGATAGAGCGTGGAGAAACAGCAAGTAGCTTCTTACTTTGTAAATGTACCTGCTATAGTTTTTTGAGATATTTCATATTAAATTGTCGTTTATTTTGTATAGAATTGAAAACGAAGAGTCCAGAAAACCATAACAGCTATATATACTAAGGGAGGAGTGGTTTTGTTTCTCTTGGGTCTCTCGCAAAAAAACCTTACATAGACTAGGACGAATGGTTCTCGAGCAATAAGCAAAAAGACTGTTGTATTACGGAGGTTCCAAAATTATTTTCTGATACTTAAACTGCAAAATTTAAAGTTTTTAAGTATCTAAAATCTCGCCAAGAATGTCCACGACCATCATGCCAAATTTTGTCGGAATAGGTGCCGGGGGTTTGGAAATGCCCAAAGAAAGAACAAACAAAAATACGCACTTTTCTTTAGCTATTAGAAACATCGACATTTTAAAACATTCTCAGAGAGACGAAGACTTACATTTTATCTTCGGAAAGTAGGCCGTTATTTTCCATAATTAATATTATACAAAACAAAAATGTCATTCAAATATAGCTCATGGTGCAGGAGAAATGAATTCATATTATCAAATATTAAAATAACTACGAATGAAAAGCGGCGCTTAAAAGAGTGTTATGTTAGCAGCACTGAAGTGAGATTATTAAATTGAAAATATGGAATACATCACACGGTTTAAATTGCAATAGATTATTTAATTTCGTTATAACGCCATTACTTTGTGTTAATAACGTCAAGAAAATAGTTACTACACTTTCTAATAGTACATGTGCATCATATCTGGACATAATTGAGAAAATGGCAAGTTCTCTCAGATTTCATGTGACAAACATGATAGAAAATATCTACAGATATGCCTCCACAGTCTTGATTCGATGAGACGAAAACAGACCCAGCTTTGAAAAAACTGATGCTTTTAGATTGGGAGACCAGGCTTCGTATCCTTTATTGTGGGCCTAACCACATTGTTAGCCTGCTCTAACAGTCATTGTTCTGGTTCAGTTACTATTGTTGTATCCCGAAGGATAGTGATGGGATATACTTGTAGACCGAGAGAAAGTCTGTGGTTTGGAATCGCTGGAACACTTAAGAATTGAAATTCAAGTCTTCAGAAGTCGGTTGTGAGGTTAATTAGAACAAACGTATTGAACGAAATAGTCATACAGGGTTACAGCACGAACATTATTGAGTACTGATTGATGAACAAGTAGAAAGACGTGAATGCACTATGCACCAATGCGGTAGAAACCGGCAAGTAGTGAGAGGGTGTGTTGAGTGTAATGCTCGATGATGCACTGAACTGCACTAATAACAGTAATGACACACAAAGTGCGTGAAGCGAGTGATGGTACGAGGAGTCCGACCGAAGTGAACAAGTCAGAAGTCTATCGTGATGTCCGCTGTGGCTGGCAGAGCCCGAGTTCTTAGAGGGATTCGAACCCCGAACTTGGTGCGTGGATACCCAGAGACACGCCTACAGAGGGGGTAGCTAGAATCAGATCCACATTTGATTCGTCATCCTTAAAGAGGGGTATGGCCATTCAGCTGTAAGGAGTACTGGATGGTCATACTTACTTACTTATGGAGCTGAGCCCTTCTTGAGGAGCCGCCAAATCTGCAGCTACTCAAGAATTCCCCGGCATTTTATGGAACCCGTAGGTTCATTACCATGTTGACAAGAGCCCTCCACTGGTCCCTATCCTGAGCCAGACCAATCCAATCCATACCATCCCATCATATCTCTCTAGGGTCATAGGAATTCTAAATAATAATTCCAATTAAGAGGATTTTTAAATCACGAGGAGAGAACACCTGCAGGTAGTGCCCTTAAGCACGTTTCTCCCAAAAGGCTGAACCTCTTATTTTGTAATTACACAGAATTAAGGAGTCTAGACTACTCCATACAGGAAACGGACAACATAGAATAAACAAGTAGGGTCGCCCGTGGTGCATGGTACACGCTCACATCTCGTAAAAAATAGGCGGGGGTTGAATACATATTACACTATATCAATTTTACTGCAGTATATTCATCATCATCATCAGTAATCTGTAAGACGACAGGTCCACAGTCTCTTCCAAAACAATCCCTCCACTTAATGCGATCTAGAGCTTTCTCCTTCAAATGACAGTATCCTCTTCTGTCCCCAAGGTCATCCAGCATCTTCTTACGTCTTATTCCTCGTCTTCTTGTCACTTCTATCCGCCCCTCTATCTTTCCTTCAGTAACTTCTTTTAGAAGGCAGTTTCTGCGTAAAACATGACCAATCCAATTAGCCTTCCGTTTTCTTATTTCGTGTAGGGTATTCCTCTGCTCACTGACTCTAATTAACACTTCTTCATTTCTCACATAATCGGCCCAACTGATCTTCTTCATCCTTCTCCCTTAATTGATTTAACAATGCTCTGTCTTCTTCTTACATTGTGCAGTATTGAACTCCACCATGAAAGTGAACAGTGAAACGAGAAAAAAGAGTAAGGACGCAGTATCAACGTATTTCAGGGTGCTCTGACAGCATTTGCCTGGAGGAACTAAGCAAATCTCAGTCAAGATAGCCGCTATATTGACAACAGAACCTTTCAAATACGATGCAGCATTGCTAACCCCCCCAACAATGACATTTATCACCACGTCGTTCAGATGAGATGAGCAGGTCATGAAATGCATCATAGTCTTGGGAAATGCATACGTTAATTTTAGTGCGAAAGCCCAGAGTCGTAGATGCGAGAATAATATTGAAATTGACTTTAAAATATAGGATGTGAGGGTGTGAACTGAATTAAGCTAATTCAGAATAAGAGTGAGTAACGGACTCTTATGAACACGATAACGGACTTTTGGGTACCATATACGATGATGTTGATGACCTGATCGACTCTGAGCTTCTCAAGAAGGAATACGATTCATGGAGTTAGTTCTGCATATTTCCATGCAGAATGTAAAGTAAGTAAAATCCTGTGAGAATTCTAAGGCCTCATCGAGAATCGAACCCCGACCTTGTGGCTTGTAGCATAGTGCCTCAATTGAGAAAGTTAGGCCATATAACTTCTTGGTTATAGAAAGATCCTACACACTCATTACAAAAGAGCTTGACTTTACCACATCAACAGCTAAGAGCCTGAAGTTCGCGGGTTCGATTCCCAATGATGTTATTGGATTTTTCATTTGACCTAATCCTTCCAGCCGCACTATGGCCCTGGGTTCGACTAAGTCTCTAACAGAAATGAGTACCAGGAATCTTCCTGGGGGCAAAGGGCGCCCGGCGCTTAAGGCTGACAGCCTCACTGCCATCTCTGAGCCGATTGTCTAGAAAATGTGGGAGCCTCGACATCTCACAACCCCATGGGTCTCCACGGCCTGTTACAGGGATAGCTTTACCCTTTATACAGCTTCGCCAAACAGCAGTATTAATCACACTTAAGAATAATCCTCATCTTATCAGTCATATGGAAAAATCTGCTGTGATGGTTCTTTTCATAAATTCTCTCTTTTCCTGATTATTTATAAACTTTTTCTTTCATATGAACCTCAGTTTTGGTGCTCTAAGGTTATTCTTTATTATGTCTGTTATTAAAATATTAGGAAGGTTCTTGTAAGGCAAAAATTAAAAGAGAAAAAATTTGAAATTGTGTCCCCTACAGTATCATTCTTACACTCGTCGTTATGTAAGGGAAGAGACGGTAATAATTTACTTGAGTGAAGTAACAGGTATGAATTTAATTACTGGATATTATTAGCAGGTTCTTTAAAATATAAGTAAAATATGACACACTCACCGAAAGCTGCAATCATACCAAACATGACACAGAACATTCCTCCCACTACTGGCTGTGGAATTATAATGAAAATTGCCCCAAACTTGCTGATAAGACCCTGGATTATCATCAAGAAAGCAGCATACTGGATTACTCGCCTACTGCCAATCTGTATCAAAAGAATAATACACAAATTTGATATATGATATTAGTAACTAAAATATTAGGCCGCGCCGTAGCTCAAGCGGTTAGTAGCTGGCTTCGCACCGCGGCGGCCCGGGTTCGATCCCGGTTGTGGTCAAGTGGGATTTGTGTTGAACAAAGTGGTGCTGGGGCAGGTTTTCTCCGAGTACTTCGGTTTCCCCTGCCAATCTTCATTCCACCAATTGCTCCACAATCACCCTCACCTATCATCTGGGGCTGGTACAATAGGCCAGAAGTGGCCGCAGTACAAGGGACTTAGTCCTACCCCACTAGCAATAAACAAAAACTAAATTATTAAGTGTGGGGTAAAATAAATTATGTATTTAGACAATATAAATTTTATATTTTTAATTATGTTTACAGTGGAATTATAATTATTTTCTTTCAAGATTATAGTCCTTTAATTATCCGTTACTAGCGGAACAATTTTAACAAATTTTTTTATTTTCTGCAGAAGTTTCACTGTGTGCCATGAATTTTTCAGAGTGTTAATTTCAAATTAACTTCATTCTATGTATTGAATGTTTGAGCAGGAGTAATTATGGTCTAAAAATTGTTATTTTGAACTTACCTTTGTGACTCCAATTGCACCCACATTCTCTCCAAATGTGTTGGTGCCATTTCCACTACCCCAGATTCCTGCTAAGATAGTGCCCAATCCTTCTGTAGCGATGCCCCTGTTTATGGCATGAACGGGTGGTGGGGGTGCTCCTGAAATTATTACATGCACAGAATGGGATGTTTTATATTGATTTCAGCCTCGGTTTATTAGAAGTCAGGTCTTTCTAAACTTTCCGACACCCAGCCTTCGTGATAGGGATCCACAGGCTTAATAATGTCTGCACAAAGCGTGTATCACATTTTCCAGAACAAAATCGGTGTAATCACATGTAATAAAATTTGGGTTGTTACAAATTGTTTAAGAAGCTGGAAAAGGATTACAATTTCCTTAAGATTCCAAATAACTTTAAAGTACTTCATCTCTAAATAAATCCAGAACGATCTAATTTAAAATAAAAATGCTGTCAGTACTTACTTACTTACTCATGGAGCTGAGCCCTTCTTGAGGAGCCGCCAATTCTGCAGCTACTCAAGAATTTCTCAGCATTTTATGGAACCTGAAGGTTCATTACCCTGTTCACAAAGCCCTCCACTGGTCCCTATCCTGAGCCAGATCAATCCAATCCATGCCATCCCATCCTTTCTCTCTAAGATCAATTTGAATATTATGCACCCACCTACGCCTTGGTCTTCCCAGTCGTCTCTTTCCTTCTAGCTTTCCTACCAATATAATATATGCATTCCACGTCTCCCCAATTCGTGCTACATTCCCTGCCCACCTCATCCTCCTTGACTTGATCATTCTAATTATACTTAGAGAAGAGTACAAGTTATGAAATGTTGTCAGTATTCCATACACACACACACACACACACACACGTATATATATATATGAAACAGCAAATATTGAAAATATCGGAAATACGTAGGATTTGAGGTTCTCGCATCGGTGGTTATGAAGAGCTCTATCTTCTTGGGTATAACGCCGTGCAGTCCGTTGAAATTCAACCGACGTTTTGCTTGCTGCCTGCTTCATGCTAGTTTCGTGCTTGGCTTAGTCTTCAACCCTGAAATGAGACGAAATATTCTTCCTAAACGTCGGTTCGACTTTCAACGTACTACTCGGCCTTATATCCCGGATCACAGAACCCGTCATAACCACTGGTCTGAGAATCTCAGGTCCTTCATAAATTGTCTCTTCGAAAAAAAAATATTATTAGGATGACGAAATCAAGAAGAATGAGAAGGGAAGGCATGTGACATACACGTGGAGTTGAGAAACACAACATTTCAGTTGGAGTAACTGAAGGGACCTCATGGGAGGAGGGCAATATTGCTGTGATGTGAGGATGAGGATTGAAATTACATTGCTCAGTACAGGTCCAGTTGTTGTGGGCCCTTGTGAAAATGGCAGTGGACCTTTGGGTTCTTCGAAAGACGTATAACTTCTCGGTAGCAGGCTAACTATTAATTTTTCCCCATGAAGTTACGAAAGTCACTGTTAGTCCTTGTCATACCGCACATCCTTGCTGTAGTGGGGTAGTAACTGATAGACTCTACAGTGCAAGCCAAGACGCCTGCCAGCATTCCCAGCACACCTGCTGCAGTGACTGTCGGCACACCCCACTGCCCTGGAAAATGAACGATAAAATTACATCCGAAAGAAATATTACAAATATTAAAGGCAGTTAAGACTGTCAGGGACCTTTTTATATGTCTAAAGAACCAAACCTTATATAATAATAATAATAATAATAATAATAATTTATTAAAATTCTTCGTAACAACAGTTGAATTACAAACACAAAAATACGTAATAGACGGAAAGAAATATAAAAAAGTCAAAAGTAACAGTTTCACTAGAATTATACAAAGGAAATTAATCGTCCAGACAAACCGTATTCCTATTGAAAACATAGACTAAATGACATGTGCTATTAATAGCGTTAGCACACCTGACTGAAGAACAGAACCTGACACTATTGTTTACAGTAAGAATGGAAAAGTTCTGTTTAGTTCAGTAGGCACAAGAAGAGGAACATTAGTCCCTGAGAGAATGACAGGATTTTTCTCCTTAAAACGTTAGAAAGAAAAAGAACATCAGGATGGCATTGTCTGAATAAATTATTCTAAACATTCCAGAATAAAATCATAATTGCGAGGAAGGCCAGTTTGCTAAAATCGACAATAGTGCAAAGTTGCAAATTTCATTGACATATTTCTTGCTAAAATCGACAATAGTGCAAAGTTGCAAATTTCATTGACATATTTCTAAGTTTATTGGAATCTGCCAAAGTAACGTTATTCTAGGCTCCAGCGTTAGGAGAAGGAGGGCGAATTCTGGGCGCAAAAGGAAAGATAGATTTTCAGCTAATGTGAGACAGTTGCACTCTTCTAAATTTGAGTGATTACTTCTTATTTATTTCTGTACCATAATTGAAAACAGATTTGATCACGTCTTGAAAACGCCTACTAAAAAAACGCACATTTATTCAACCACACATACGCGCAGAATTGCCCAAATATTCAGGTAATATTTCGCAAATTGAGGAGAAATTCTGCATACTTCAGAGAATTACATATTATATTACCTGAAAGAAATTTAAAAATATCAATAAAATGAATTTAAATGCACACATACGCTTTAAAGGAGCCGGGGTAACATAGTCGGTATAGCGACTTGCTACGGGCTGGACGACTGAGGGGTCGGAGTTTGAGTCCCGGTAGGGTCAAGAATTTTCTTTTCTCCAAATCGTCCAGACCGGCTCTGGGGTCCACCCAACCTCCTATCCGATGGGTACCTGGTGTTCTTTCCTCAGGAGTAAAGCGGCAGGGGCGTGAAACTGACCACTCACCCCCCCTCCAACTAGTGCCGAGGTCAAGAAAATGTGGATCTATGCATCCACTCCTCCATACGCCTTCATGGCGTAGTGCTTAATTCGTTGAGCACAGGGACAACTTTACCTGTACCTTTACTTTACCCTACGCTTTAATTATTTCCAGATCTATTATCCATTTCCACACACACTTGGATATTGGAATTGGCACCCCACCTCCATGAGGTGTACCTGAATTTGAGTAATATCTGCCCCCATGAAGCACGGCTTAAGGGTTGAGATAGAAGTGTGGCCAAGTATCGTGTCTTTCAATATTTTATGCGGGAAGCCAGGAGGGGCATCATTTGAGCCTTCTTAGTAATGACACAGAGTGCAGAGACATTTCTGACCCTAGTCAGAGGTGTCCTAGGTATCCTGAGAGTGACATAAATGACGTTAGTAACCTTATTAGCGACATTATCTTTCTTTCTAATCACCGAAGTAAATGCTTTATCAGCAGAACCCTTTTATTTCCTTGGCACTACAGCCCCAGTGGGCCTAGGCCTACCTCCATGAACTTCTCCGTTCACTTCGGTTTTTCTAGATCTTACACATTCGGTAGGACTCCTTGGGCGGGTGATCAGCTCGTCTCAAGGCCTCTACCTGTACAGAGACACAGAAAAACGCACACACACAAACTAAACATCCATGTCCTGAGTGGGATTCGAACCCACGATCCCGGCTTCCAACCGAGGGAAAGCAGTACATGCCTTAGACCGCTCGGCTACCGTGACCGGCAGCAGAACCCTTAGCTGATGTAAATATACGAAGTTCGGAATTAATAGCTTCAACATAACTCCTGGAAGGTTTCTGCTGAGAGGCATAATAATTCAGTTTCTTTATCTGAGTTCTTGCCAACAACAAATACGCTGTAACAGGCGAACACAATCGGTGTATACAAAACTAAAAACTGGACTAATAATTAAATTCTAAAATGTAAGATAAAAGAAATAATAATGTAAGAAGTTCACGCGTTAATAGAGACCATGAACTGAAATGGACTGAAGAAGAAGAAAGTTTCCTCAAGGATCGCAGTACTTACTAAGAATCGGTTGATGCTTTATGCAGCTCTGATGCGCTTTGAATAATGTCTAGGTCTGAAAGCTTTATTCTCATTAAAAGCGGAAAATTCCACAATTTTCTTAGTGGGTGCAAAGAGACCAACAGCATCTACGAGATAGAACGATAGTTGAGTTTTTCCTTGTA